TGGGCGGGAGTGTCAGCCCAGGTATGCTACTGACAGAAGGTTCATGCAAACGGGCTTTCGGGTGAAATTTCACAATGAACCTAAAATGCACGCTAACCTCTTCGGGAGAACTCGTCATACTTTTTGCACAATTTGCTCTCCTCAAACAAGGAGCTGAACAGCAAACAGGTGTTCATTAATGGACCAGTAATTTTTCCTGACAGAACAAGATAACACAACAGAACCGGATACTATAAGAGAACTTTCACTACAACTGACCCTGGCAATACAGACTACCAAAAAGGCATGAAAAACAAATCTGTGAAACTGCAAATCCATGAAAGATGAACAGTGTTATATGACTGTGCTGCCAAATCAATAGTGAGGTTCTCTTGCATTTCAGGTTCACGCTGAAATTTTACCCCAGAGCCCAATATGGCAAACTTTTTGGGTGTAGTGTACACGATTGCCATAATGCGAGTGGATGATTCTCGGGTTCCCCCTCAGGTGGGAGGCCAGCAGCTGGAGCGAGTGCTCTCGGACCTGCGGCGAGGGCTTCCAATTCCGGCAGGTCAGATGCTGGAAGATGCTGTCACCCGGCTTGGACAGCTCCGTCTATAGTGACCTGTGCACCGTGGCCGACTTGGAGAGACCCATGGAGAGGCGGCCTTGCAAGAGCCCCGCTTGTGGCCCGCAGTGGGAGGTGGCCGAGTGGACCGAGGTACGTCGCCCTCTACAATGTCTCTCGAACTGTTCACAATGTTTCTCAGTTTTTGCTAATCGTTGGCAAGGCTAGCTAGAGTAAAATGCTCACGTCTTTCCCTTACTGCATCTCTCTCTATCTCTTTGTATTGACGTGACCTTGGCTACATTGGGAACTGACCCGTAATCAAGCCAAAAAGAGGTGGCTGTTAACATGCTAACGTGCTAACACAGTGTTCCGCCAAGTGTGGCCGAAGAGATCAGGTGACCCGGGATGTCCGCTGCTCCGACGAAAGCCGCCCGTGCGACCCCGCGACCAGACCACCCAGCATCAAGAACTGCACGGGCCCGCCCTGCGAACGCCACTGGACCGTGTCTGAGTGGGGGCCAGTGAGTGAAGCCACGACGCGGCCGGTGTGAACCAAAAACCCCGCCGTGACGCGGCGTTCAGTTTTGCGCCTTCTTGTGCCCAGTGCTCGGGCCCGTGCCCGCACGGGAGGATGGTGCGCCACGTGTACTGCAAGACCCCCGATGGGCGCGTGGTGGCCGAGGACCAGTGCCTCGGCGACGAGAAGCCGCTCGCTGTCCAGCCCTGTGGGGGGAGGGATTGCCCCGCCCACTGGCTCAATCAGGACTGGGAAAAGGTGAACCCTGTTGAGAGTGAAACCCGCACATCATGTTTGTGGAACCGCTATGTGGTGTCTGTTGCGTGCATGTCACATGCCCGAAACCTGCACGTCACGTGTGGGCCATCTCCACACTGTGCAAATTTGGCCTGTAACACGTGCGTACTGTGTGCAGTGTAACACCACTTGCGGCCGCGGCGTCAAGCGCAGGGTCGTCCAGTGCGTGGGCATCAGTGGCGGCAAGTTCCTGGTCTTGGACGGGGAGGCGTGTGGCGCCGAAGAGAAGCCCGAAGACGAGAGCACCTGCTTCGAGCGGCCGTGCTTCAAGTGGTACACCACGCCCTGGTCCGAGGTAAGGTGATCTGTCCCGGTGTGTGGCGGGCGAGGAGTGTGACGTGTCGCCTGCGTGGCGTGAGCGTCGTGTGACGTGCATGCCGCACAACAGCTAGAAAAGTCTCACGCATGTGGCACGTGCAATCGGTAACATTTGTAACCGGCGCACCCCCACGATGAAGGCAGCGACGATGTGTAACGTGTCTGTGTGTAACATCTCGAACGTGATATATGGATGTCAGGTTTGCGAGGTCTGTAACATGTGATTTGGATCACATGTCCCTAACATGCCTGTTTGGTCCCTATTGTATGTCGCATGTGTGTGCAACCTGTGTGGAATGTCCTTAACGCCTTGCATGTAACGTGCGATACGGGTCAAACCTGTACGTAACCATTGTCCGGCATGCGTGCGAGACGTGTTTAGCGTGTATCATCATCGGGTGTTCACAGTGTGCAAGTGGCGTGTGTCGCGTGTCCGCCAACCTGCTTGTAACACGGAACCTTGCGTGTTGCTCAGTGCACCAAGACGTGCGGCGTGGGCGTGAGGATGCGCGACGTCAAGTGTTATCAGGACCGCGAGCTGGTGCGCGGCTGCGACCCGCTCACCAAGCCCGTGTCCAAGCAGACGTGCAGTCTCCAGCCGTGTCCCACCGAGCCGCCAGGTCAGTCCGCCCCCAACCATCGAGCCCCGTCGAACCGCTCCCGCACTTTTGGACGAACCAACCCTGAATCGGTGTATCCCGTGTATCAAGATTTCGAGAGCCAATCGCCTCTTTTTGGAGGGAAGCGCAGCTCTCGTCACATACCTGTCATCGTATTTGCCGTTCTATGCTGAGGATAAAGAATACTGTTTACACTTATGAGTTCAAATATCAATGACTTTTTTTTTTTTTTTGTCTGTCGGTGTTCAGATGAAAGCTGCCAGGACCGGCCCACCACCAACTGCCTGCTGGCTCTCAAGGTCAACCTGTGCAGTCACTGGTACTACAGCAAGGCCTGCTGCCACTCTTGCCGCTCCCTGCGACCGCCCACTTCCTAGAACCCCGACCCGCGCCGCCTTTGCCGGACTTGCCGCTTGCGCACGTGGATTTTCTTCGTCGGCACGCTCGGGGTGCAACGTCGACATTGTGGAAACACAACGTCGGCGCACCAAAAGTTGCTCACACGGGGCACGCCCACTTTTTGGGTCAATACTGGCATCCTGCACTGTTGTCGTTTCACGTCACGCCCTCATTCTCCTTCTACCCGTCACATTCTTTCTTTTTTCTTTCTTTATTATCTCGTTCTCCTTTCAAACCTTAACTTTTGCCCCCCCCCCGTTGCCTTTTGAGTCTTTCACTGTCCCACTTTCTTTTTGTCCCATCATCCATCCCTCCCCCCCATTGTGCTCTCTTTTGCGACCCCGAGCCTTCTCCCGCCACGTTTCTCAGACCCATCACTTCCTCCCTCACTCCTTCTCAAATCCTTTCCCGTAATTCCACTCTTCTCGTCATCAATCTCTCTCTCTCTCTCTCTGCATGCCATCGTCCCTCCCTTTCTCGCCCACACGCGTGTCTTACTCGGGCCCTTAAACTTGAACCGACACGATGATGAAGACGAAGACGAAGCTCCTCCTGCAGCCTGAAAAGGGAATGACGAGCGTCTCTCTGACCAAGACGATTCTTCCATTCACATATTACATGTTATTTAACGGTGACATTGAGTGAAATGTGCATATCGGCGTATTTATTAGTCATCGCACAGAAAACACAAACACATTCACACACACGCACACACATAACACGACGCACACACACTTTTTTTCTTTTTATGTTAGCACGACCACCCGACGTTTCTTCATCGGGTCCCAAAAAAAAAAAAAGAAGAGGGGAAAAAAAAAAAAAGAAAAAGAAGACGACGATGATGGCGGACAGAGGAGCCGAGATAACCTGACACTTGAAATGTATTCAGACGTGCTCGTCTTCCTGTCTTTGATCGAAATATAACAAAGACCTCTTTGTATGACGCGCCAGCGCACGCGGACACACGTTGTTGATAATAAAGACAAGAAACTGTCCACTTGGCGCTCGCTCTCTCTGCTTGACTTTTCATGTTCACGCTCCGTCTCTCTGAGAGCAGTCAGAGGGAAAAGGGGGGGTCGCGATTTGTCCCCGTTGCACCCGTGTGGCTGACAGGCTGACGTCGTCAGTGCGTTACACCGTGCGACTGTTGGGCTGACAGTGTCGGACAACAGAACCCAAGTGGGCAAAGTGTGCGCTAGGAGCAGCCCAAGCAACCCCCCCACTCCCCCTCACCAGCCAGGGGTCCGCGGACCGGTATCGGACCTCAGCCCGTTTGGGACCGGGCTGCGCAGAAGGAGACCTGCAAGCCGTGAGCAAATGGACTCCCGTCAGACGCGGTGGAATTGTACGCGACTCTCGCCAATCGGAGCCCGTCTTCTAACATTGGTTCGTCAGTTGTAACGAACAGAAACGGCCAGGAAGTGAAAGAAGTAGCAATCGATAAAAAGTGATCGGAACAAATTGACCGAACTCGCAGCTGACGGGCAGCCGCGACTTCCGAAGATGAAGCAATTCGAACAAGAGAAGTTCCAAGAGAAGAAACCCGCTGCATCATTTGAATGAGTTGCACCCGAGTGGAAAGCATGAAAAAATGCTAACGTCAACGTTCGCATTTTTTTTCGCTAGCTAATAACGAGCCAGCGGCCACAGGATGAAAGCAAACATCCATCGTGTCATCTTTGGATCAGTCACATTTGCAAGTAGCAATGATGCTACCGTCGTATGTCGGATCATAACTTCAAAATGATTATGTTTACATTACAAGGCGTATTTGTTATGAGTCGTCAAATCCGGCGTCTTTCATCTTAGGCAGCTGGCTAAAGTCAAGCCTCCCCTTTCTTTGGTGAGCGCTTTGGAAGAGGAAGTCACGCTTTCGTCACATGTCGGCCGGATTGCCGTAACGCACTTGACTTTGGAGTCAGCCAGTCCTCCAGGAAGCATCTCCAGTAGGTCCATAATGCTGCTGCTCACCTCGTGACGGCTACTCGTAAGAGGGAGCACATCACTCCCACTCTGGCATCCCCTCACTGGCTCTCTCTACATTTTAGAGTTTGTTTGAAGATCCTAAGATTGCTTTTCAAACCTTGAAAAGGCCTCGCGCCACCAGACCTCCCTGGTCTGCGGACTCGTCTCAACTGGTCCGTGACACACACAAAACAAACAAAAAAGCAGGTTGGGGACCACTGTGCTAAAGGTTACGCGGCAGTGTATAACGCCCTGGCACAGTGTCCGTGTTTCCAATGTGGTTGACTACAAGTTAGCGCGTTGTGGGGTCGTAAACAGATAGCTTCTTGCAAGATGAAGTGAGTGTGTTACAGCGTACGTTACAATTTATTTTGCCGTCTCGGTTACAGTTTGGCTGACAGTGTCTTACAAGATAAGCGAGTGCGTGTTACAAAGCGTGTGACAGTATTGTTACATGTACAATGTCTCGCGATACAACTCTTTAGGCTGTACTTCACTCGAAAATCAAAAGTGACCAAAAGTGCGTCACTGTGTGGGTGACAGTGTGTAACACCGCGTAACATGGCAACGTGCTGAAGAAGCAACGAGTGTCAGGTATCATCAACTATTGATCAAAACATCAATCCAAAATGTTTTTGTGGTGGGCGGGGCTAATTTCAGCTTTATTTCATTGTCTCTGGATGCCTCAACTTGGTAGATTGTCAATGATGTGCTCGCATTGGCATTTACTTTTGTGCTCCTGAAATGGAAAAACAAGTGCGAAAAATGCGTACAATTATTTCGCAGTCATGGTGTCCGAGTTGTGTGGCGTCGGCGGGCATTTGCACGTATTGCTACGCCGAACTAACTTTTTTTCAACGGTTGGCATTCAATTTGTTTCACTTGCCTGATTTTTTCTCATCATCTCACCCTCCGTTTTTTTTGTCAGTTGATTTGCATGCCGTTATTTCTAACAACGAAACATACAGCGGGTCATACTGACCCGTCAACAGCGTTGCGAAGAAATGAACATCGGAGGAGGGTTCAAAGGTGAACGAGGCTCCTTGTAACAAGCCGGGATGTTAATCAAGCTTTGAGGAATTGACAGTTTGTTCCAAGTCAGCCGCCGGTCGACTGGCATCTGGCGTGGGCGGCATGGAAAAGTGTGAGAGGCCGTCAGGGACAAAATTTAGGGTGACCTCTCACACATACTGTGAAACACTCTGAACACTCTGCGTGCCAGTATTAACATGAGAGCATTTCAGTGGTTGAGAGCTGAGAACTTTACACACGTGTGAGAGGTAATCCTGAATGATGTCCCAGCCTGGCCCTCCTCGAAAAGCCCTCAGTGTGTGGTTTGCGGCCCCCAGGCCCCTACACGTCGGTGCTGACGCTGCGCGTGACCGCCTCCCGCGTGGCCATTGAGCGGATGAGGTCCAGCTTGCGGTAGAAGCCGGCCAGGTCTGCAACGGGCGTCTCCGGGTCCTGGTGCACGCCGCGGTAGCCGGCGAGCCCTCGCCCTCCGTTGCAGAGCCGCTCCGGGTGGTGCAGGTAGAAGGGCAGCGTGCAGCGGGCGCACGCCGGGCAGAAGCCGTGCGCCCGCTGGCAGCGGCGCAGAGGCGGCGGCGGCGTGAAGCTAACGGGCCCGTTGGCCTCGGTCAGGAAGGTGGGCGGGTACGTCTCGGGTTCGTCGCCGTAACGCTCCGGGGTGGGTGGCGTCGGGGGCGCCGACAGAGCCAGGGGGTGCGAAGGCGACATGGTGGACAGCTCCGGTTCCTCCTCCTCCCCCTTCGCGGACTCCTCCCTCTTACAGCAGTAATACTGAAAGGGGAGACGGGCGACAAGTGCGAGCCGCTGTATTTCACGTGGCGTTCCAGTGAGCGCTTTGCAATGTGTGACTTTGTTCCAGTGTGAATTACAACGAGTCACAGTGCGTTACGCAGCGTGTGACGGCGACCGTTACTATTTGCGGTTGTGTTAACGAACAGTGGTTATTACGTGTTCATTGCCCCAAGCCGCATCGTGTTACACTTTGTCACAGAGATATCGAATCATGTCAAGGCAGCGGACGTACCTGCAATCTACATAAACACAGCACGGCCACAATGGTGAGTAAGATGACGGCAGCCAGAATTCCACCAGCGATGACCACTGTCCCGGCTGACATTCGAAACGCTCTCCATCAACAGCCTGCAGCGGGGCGGCGAGAGCCGGGGTGACCGTCCGCACAGTCGGGACGGCGGCAAGGCAGAAGAGACAGAAAAGGACCAGGGGTTCGTATTCGTCTTCTCGGGTTCGTGGGGTGTTTTGGCGAAGGTGGCGCCAGGTGACGACCCGGCACGAGCCAACGTGCGCTCATGTGTTAGCCACGACGATGCCGACGACGACGCGCGCTTCATTCATCGCATCTTTAATGCAGCGGGTCTGCATCAAAAAGCAGCGCTTTCACTGCTGCAAATACACCACACTTTTCTCACGACAATTTTTTTTTTTTCTGAACGTCTCACAGAGATATTTTGAACACTTTGCCACCCCGTCCTCCACTTAGGCCGCGGCTAAGTGGAACCCATTATTTTGCCCATACTGTACCTTCGGAAAATTTGACACGATTTCAGTCGTAATCTCCTGAAATCTCTCGACGAATATCTGAGTGTGGTCACGCTCACATCTTTTTATGACCGCACGAATGTCAAATCACTGGCCAACGTCTGCCGAATATCACAGCGATCTCTTGGTACGCTTTTGCTCTTATCTCGGGAATAGCGTGACATATGGCGCCTCACCGTGATCAAATCTCGCTATTATTTCACTGATATGCCATCGTCGTCTCGCTAACATGAAACAAAAATCTATTTTTTCTTCACAATAACTCATAAATCTCCCATTGGCATCTGAATATCTCATGAGAGTCTCACTCGCATGTTGCTAATATCTTACGAGTATGCTAACCGTAGCTCATTTTGCTTTTATGTTGAGCATTCCTCGACAGTATCTTACTTTCTCACTCTTGCCTCACGAATAACTCACGTGTACCTCAATAGCTTCGCTCATTCACACCCGAACAACATCTCACCACGATCTTAAAAGCTCACTGATATCCCGCAACACTCTCGACACGATCTCGTTTCTATCTCGCGACTCTCTCACTCACACGTGGCTAACATTTCACGCTTATCTTAACGCTTCCTGAGGAATCTTACGACCATCTGGATGACACCTCGCCGATCCCTCAATACCTCGCTAATATCGTCAACAATATCTCTGAAGCTCTGACTGCTCACCGCAAGGCCATCTCGCTGCTTTTTTGCTACGATCGGAATCCTCATTGAAATCTCACGAACTTCCCTGACACATCTTTTGCGATTATCGATGCCTTGCTCGCTGCTCAATCATGAAAGACTCATCTCGAACCAACGGTGTCTTCATTTTGCCATCCATCCATCGTCATCTTGCATCCATCCAGAGCGTGCGCACACGCACGCACGCACACACAGATCTTACCCATCATTTTAGTGCTGGTTCCACTTGCAAATGAGTACGCACGTGCACCAGGAGTGGGAAAAGTGCTTCAGAGAAAAGGAAAAAAAAAAACCCCAAACAAACACACGCACCCCTAACACGCACACAAAAAAAGTGCCCAAAGTGGCTCGATTCCCTTCCGGAACATTCTCCATCAACACTCTCACACACGCCAAAGCAGTCCAAAGTGGGATGAGAAGCTCCTGCGGGGAGAAAAAGATCCCCTTGCGACGCCGCGCACAGCCACTCGACTCCCGTCTGCTGCTGCTGCGGCGGCGGCGGTGCGCGCATACGTCCAAGCGGCAACGCGCCGGCTGCGTGCGCGCGCGCGGCCGAGCGGGTCACGTCACAGCCGAGACCTGCAGCAGGAGGCTCGCAGACCTTCATCGTCATCCTCACCTTGCTCCAGTTGGATGAGCCCAAAGTCACCCAAGAAGTTCCAAAGTCGGCCTCCCGGCTGGCCGACTGGTCTCATGAGTATCTCACGACGATCTCGGTCATGATCTTAACCACACTCATATGCGATGACCACCTCACTCACCGGCATCTCACTATTACCAATCATGTCTCGAGCAGCTTTAATCGAATATTTCCCCAGCATCGGACTTATCTCTGTGACGTACCAGCACGATGGAAGTAACGGCTCATCCATATGTCATTCCATCGATATCTCCGACCTCCCGGATTTCGGGGACTCGAACACGCGCAACCTTTGACCGAACAATCCGACGAAAAATGGCACCCGCAGGACCGGAGGATTGATCCCGCAACCCTCGGGCTCCAGCGGTGCACATCTCACAGCCATCACCTGTTCCTGGAATGGCGGCGCACGTCCTGCGGCCGCCACCCGTCTTTGTTCCCAATGGTGCAGGTCCTGCGGCCGCCGCAGAGTGTGCCCCTGCAAGTATTTTTCGTGAATAGATTTTGCTTAGTACGCTTCTCCAGCCTCCCCGCTTTTGGGTCCTCGACCGCACACAAATCATGAAAATAATATCCCCATCAAATCTTTGTCTCCCAATTTTGCCAATCAATATCTCAGTAACATCTTGACTGTATATCCCGAAGTCACCATTTGGTGATGATCTCATGACCATCTCAATAGATTTCAAGATGGCGCCATTGTTGGCACACGTCTGTTTTTTTTGGTGCTTGTGTCTTGTGTTTTGTCCGACGGTGTTTGTTGTCCTTTTGCGTTGAGCCGCCGTGGACCGTTTTCAGCGTTTTGGATCTGGCATCAATTGGTGATCAATCCTACTCTTAACACTCAACGAGCTCTCACTAAGATCCGATGTCTCACTGTATCTCAAAGTAAAAAAAAGGCAGCGCAGGAAGAAGAGGAAAATGCTTCGGGTGGTCAATAATTCAGAGGTGGAAGCAGGCTGAGATTTCAGTGTCTTGTGCAGACAAGAGTGTGTAATATTCATGAGAGCTTCCTTTTACTCCTTTTACCCCCGATGCGCGCGCACACTCAGCACCGGACCCACACGACACTCGCCGGTGTCACAACTACATTGACGCCATGCCCGTGACCTTTCCAAATGAATGTGGAAGGAACAATCATGAAGAGCCCGCCATATGACGTGCGGTCCGGGCGGCGCCGCGCACGTCATTGCAGTCACACTGATGCTTCTGGCCTTGGGGACTCTCCGAATGGCGCAGATCCTGCTCGGTCCTCTGCACCGGTGAGGCCGAAGTTGATCCGACTCCGGTTCGCGTGAGTGGTTTTGGGTTCTAACATTCACTCCGAGGACTTTTCCTGACCCGGAGATGCTCTGGATCTGCGGATGACCTCACTCTCGGTTCCTCAAGCTGATGAAATGATGTTTGTTGAGTTGGGCAAAGTCTAGTCCTCAGGCTTCTGATCTCACTTTGGGTTCGAGAGCCTGTGACGCTCTGGGTTCCAATGCGGATCATACCGCAAGCTCAAAAGCCGCTGACGCTTTGGATGACAAAATAACCTCACTCGAGTTCATTGACTTGCTGAAATGAACGGAAGTTCTGAAGACGACCTCGTTTTAGGTTCTCGAGAGAGAGTAATACTCGGATCTGATCCCATGTCAGGTTCTAGAACCGGAGACATTTAAAGTGTAGAGTTGAGATATTTGTTTGTGTCGGGTTCTGAGCCTGCTGACCTTCGGGGTTCCAGCGCTGACGGCATTGTAGCTCGAGGCGAACCCGATGACCATTTGAGGTTCTTGAGCTTCATCCCACAAAAGGTTCCGACGATGTGATCTAGACTCGATCCCACTAATGTTCAAAATCTGCCCTCTTATTAGGCTTCAAAGCCAGCGAGCTTCGGTTTTCGATCACTGAGATGGAGACAAAGGCTCCGCAGCTAACTTGCCTCTAGGATCTGAAGATGGTGAAACGATTTTAGAGACTTTTGAATGCGGCCTTCTTATTAGCTTTCCAAGCCAGTGACCCGACGGCTTCTAAAACGGACCACACGGAACCTTCGAGAGCCGATCCCATTGGGGTCCTGGACCTGGAAAGTTGTCAGCGACGACCACAGCAAAGCAAAAGTTTACGCGGATGCCGACCGCCGTACGACTTGCGAGCTCGTCGTACAGCAACGCGGCATGTTGGGCTCAACGAGGCAGAGGAATGCGCCCAGGGAAGGTTTGTTCAGCTTGTTGTCGACAAGTATCTTTGTCGCTCCCAATTTCTTCCGCTCCGCTCGAAGCTTCACGAGGATAAACGCACGCGCGCACACATTGGCTGACAGCAAGTGTTCGGCGTAGCGCAATCAGACACGTGAACGCAGCAGAACCTGCAAATGTCTGTTTTCCCGGGTTGGTCGCTCGCCGTGTCTACGTTCCGGTGTTAGCGCCACGCCGGTTCTAAAGCCCATCTCATTTTGGCTTCGCTCTCTTTATAAAGCTGAACATGACACTCCAAATACAGAAGGTTCTTAAACTGGAAATGCGTTTTCTTGTTCGTTAATAACGCTAATTGTACTTTTGCTTCCAAGCGCCTTTGGAGGCAAAAAAGGGAGCACAACGGGTATAACGGGACGATGATGATGATGATGATGATGATGATGATGAAGGTTCCCCCCAGAGTGACTGTAACGGCGACTCCCTGACAAAAGCGAGCTGAAGCCGACACGAGTCTTGATGCCAGGGAGCGAGCAGGGCGAGCATCTCTGTGAATCTCCTGAATAATGGAAACATCTCCATTTGAAGGCTCTCCAACACTCTGACCCCACTTTTGGAGGAGGAAAAAAAAAAAGAAGCCTCTTCTTTTTTTCCTCTCCAGGCAGAATATTCCGGCTCATCTCCAGTGAAGCGCACGGGAGAGGAGGCACGTCGCCGCATGAGGAGGCTTTTACGTGGGGTGGGGCGCCTTGAAAGCTCCCCCTCCTCTGCTGCCATCTTTCCGTGGTTGGCCTCTAACCCCCGCCGCGGCCGAGGAACGAGTCATCCCGGGCAAAAAGAAAAAAGCTCAGCGGTGCCCTTCGGTGTCCGTCACGCTAATTGTGCCTCGTGAATATTCAGCGCCGGCTGTTAGCGTGTCGTTGTGGACGTATGGAAGGACGACATTGGGGACGTCTCACACGGGACATGGGAGGTCTTCCTGGGGTCGTCTCGTTTGCGTTGTCTGGTACGCTGTGGGACATCTTGTATGGGGCTTACGTCTCACGTCACAGACCTCTCATAGGGGACATCTGGTTTGGGTTGTCACATACGGGACACGTTCGGCGGGACCTGTCAGGCGCCTCATATGCAACATGTACTGAAGAGATGATACGTCTGAATTGTGCATACCCCATACGAGACCCTTTGTTCACAGACCTCTCATAGGGGACATCTGGTTTGGGTTGTCACATACGGGACACTTTCGGCGGGACCTGTCAGACGCCTCATATGCAACATGTACTTAAGAGATGATACGTCTCAATTGTGCATACCTCATACGAGACCCTTTGATTTGTCTGAGCCATATGCCACAACTTGTTCAGGACATCTCGTCATGGGACAGCTTGCTCGAAAGTCTCATACGGGACAACCTATTTGAACGCATCTTAGGAGCATCTCCCTCAAGGACATCTTTTTGAGTCGAGTCTCACATGGGACATCTCGTGAGGAAGTTTCATAACGGGACACTGAGTTACAACCTATTTGAACGCATCTTAGGAGCATCTCCCTCAGGACATCTTTTTGAGTCAAGTCTCATGGGACATCTCATGAGGAAGTTTCATAACGGGACACTGAGTTGCAATGTGTCTTCAGCAACAGCTGCTCTGCGACATTATTCTGGACAACTCTCCGGGGATGTGTCATCAAATGGACGTCTCACTGACGATATCTCACGTCTCATATTCGGGTTGCCTGAGGGTGAGGTGGGTTTGGGTTCGGCTCATCCCGTTCAGCATGACAGGACACCTTCCACTGGCCATTTTATCGTCTCATATGGGACGTTGCGGACTAACTGTGCCTCGTGAATATTCAACGCCGACTGTTAGCGACATTAGCATATTGGCGCCGGTGGCCCGAGCGTTTCTTGCGCCATGGATGGGAGGCTGGCAGGCGGTTCAGGCGAGGAGGGGGTTGACACCTGACCCCTCAATGCCGCCCACCCCAGTGCCACCGCCAAACAAGCAAACAAAGGTGCGCAAGGACAAAACGAGATACTCAAGCTTTGCTCCTTTGGCGTACAGAAAAGCGACACCGGAGTGATAACTGTGACACATAAAAGAGTCTTCGTAGATTCCACTTTGCTGTCCCGGAATTGGGGAGTAGGAGATAGTAATACCGAGTTGATAGTAATACCCCCCACCAGGCAGGCTCCTTCAGCTCGCGGGAACAAGCGGGACGCACTGCGTGTGATGGCGGGTGACGTGAAGATCAGCGTGTGCCACCAAACGCGCTGCTGCATTTTTCATACGGTGGCCGCCAGCTTCTTTTTCCTGCGCTCCACTCGCCTGGCAGGGAACGTTTGGAATATCAAGACGATGATTCACTGCCGTCTCGGTACGCATGCCCACTTCCGCCTGAGCCCGGCAGCGTTTGACACAACATGTTGCGACGTCTCGTGCAAGGCCAATTTGTAAAAGTGCCCCCTGTGATTGGGATTTATTTTTTTTCCCTGCCACTGGATATTTGTATTTCGTCACACTGAGAATGAGCTTGAGGACAAAAAAAGGAGGATGGTGCCTGGCGAGGCAGGGCACATTCAGAAAATAAAAATCCTTTCAAAGAACAAAAAGGCAAGAAACAAAGTGCTTGGAAGCAAACAACAACAACACAAAATCGACCAAGTCCAAAACCAAGATTGAAAGTCACAAACACTGGGATGCGTCTTGAATTGGGAGCAAACACCAACAACAAACCGACAAGGACTGATAGGAAGCAAGGAACAAAATCTAAGCCAACGGACGAGACAACGAGAAACACGTGGACGAGACGCAAGCGGTTGCTGATTGATGGACGCGTTGACGGCCACAAGTGGAGACGTGAAAAGTCAACGGGACAGACGTTAGCAAGGAAAACATGACAAAAAGTGGAATCAAATCGATATCAGGTCCACAAAAAATAGATTTACAGTTGACCCAAACTATTCGACCAGGCCTGTCAATGTTGACCTGATGCCCACTTTTTGCCCCCCCCCCCCCCCACCTTCCTAAAAATCCCGATTGTCTCATGAGCAAACTCATTGGGGACATGTCATGAATGGACTCAGTCTTGTCTGGGACACCTTAATGGCAACGTCTCATACTGGGCGTGTCTTTTAGAAGGTACGGTGACGGACATCTCAAGAATCACCATCTTTCACGTCGTCGTCTCATGCTGGACTTCTTGTTTGGAAGTCTGATATGGGGCAAATGTTGGCAGATCTTGCTCGGAAGTCACAAAAAGGACGTCGGGACGAAGCTTTGCTACGTTAGCCCGTGCGACTCATAAATGCGACATCTTGCTGGCGACTCCCACAGGGCGAAACCTTTGGATTGCTCTAATTTGTTCCGTTAAAAAAAAACAAAAAAAACAAAAACAACAACAATGGAATTAACTGCGCACGGCGTTGAGAAAAAAGGGATTTGGAGTGTGGTGCCGTTTGAAGATGTGTTTGCACTGGTCAAAGTGCAGACATCGCTCAAGGTACATATTTGTGTCGGCTGCCCACTGGCAATCATAGACACACTCGGACTCGCGGTGAGTGGCTCTCCTTGTCGTCCTGGCCTTTGATGACACCCTCGACGTCGTTTGTCGCCCTCGTCGTCGCGATTCACTCGCGCCGTGTCATTTCGATGCCCTCTTGTCCAGTTGAGGACCGAAACAAGATGGCCAAGCTGTGGATTCCTCTTGTGCTGTTGGCTCTGTTGCAGCGGACCCGCGCCGGCCCCAACGACTGCGATCAACAGCCAAGTTCAGGTGCGGTCACATGTTGCCCGGTGCTCGGCCGGTGGTTCTCAAACTCGAGTCCTCGGGGGACGACGGAATAAACATCACCTGGCACATCTGGTCTTGGTTTTAAAAATCACATGTGGCCCCGGTAGACGGAGGGGTACCCATGTAAACAACTTTGAATTGGCATTTGGGTTAGAAAGGTTCCTTGAAAAAAAATTCCTTCAGCGGACTCTCAAATGTTTGAGAACCCCTGCCTTCAACATCACGAGGACACAAAATGCCATCGAATGTGGGTGTGTTTGATTCCAAGGTTCAAGCTTTCTCAAGTATTCCATCTGCAGCCTCCAGAGGGCTTCCTCGTGGGTGGATTCTAAGGTCACAGAGGTCGTTGACATTGCTCGTAAGTTGGCACGGACTGCCAGAAGTGTGTGTGTGTGTGGGTGTGTGTGTGTGGGGGGGGGGGGGGGGTTGTGTCACATGACTTACATTGTTCAGTTGAAGACTTGGCACTTTCCTGACTAAAACTCATGAAAGACTTCCAATGGTCTTTGACTGAAACTGGACGGCAAGACTTGCCTGTTTGGCTGTGAAAAGGAGGCGTTTCCTCGGTAGGCTTGGGTTGCACGGGTCTTGCCTTTAGTTCAGATCATCGGCTCATGTGGGAATAGAAATTGTACGAACAGACCAAAGTCAAATCAATTGACATTGAGCGGGGAGTCCGCTTGACGTGCTGATAAAAGACCAGTGGAACAACTCGGGCGCACTGCAATAAGGAACATAACACACGAAGACGACTCAGTAGAAAAACCGCCAGGATGCAAGACTTGAACAACATACACGTTAAGAGGACGACACAATTGGAATGACAAAAGACACAGTCGTAAAATGAGCAGGACGCTCAAATAAAACAATGAGGACACACTGGGAAAGAGTCAAATAAATGCCCAAACGTCTTTCGACTTGAGACTTCCGAGCTCTCCCACCTTTGCCAATGATTCCCCCTTTGGAGTCCTGGGAAAACGAGCTCTGATTGTTTTCTTCTCTCCTTCCCACAACAGTGCCGCCTCCCGTTCTCGATGCGAGTCTGGGGAACCGGCGTCCGGAACACGTGCCCAGGAAAAGTGCTCCGAGGCCACCGTCACACTTCTTTCGAAAAGCGCAAGGCGACCCGCCGGCAGACTTTGGCAAAACAAGCCTGGAATGGAAGCGGTGGGGCGGCTCCCTCCCAGACGGCGCCGTGTCCATCCACAACTCGTATTTCAACCGCGTGGATTACATCTGCAAAGTGGGCTGCCACTCGGGCTACTACGACTCCACGCTCGACATCGCCGCCTGCGCCTTCACCTCCGACGGGTCGGGCTACAGCTCCACGCAGTTTGAGGTCCTGGTCAACAAAGATGACTTTGAGATTCTGGAGTGGAAAGAGGGCTACGGCGGTTCAGTGACACACAATTCGGTAAAGATCTGCGCCAACAACGACATTTACATCGGTAAGAATAAGTACGGACTGGGGGAAGTCAAGGTTAGCGAAAAGGTGTTCAATCTTCCCTGGGGCGGAAGCCGTTATTGGTACAGCAGTTACATGGTCCTGGAGACCATGAGAGACGTCAAGAGAGAGCACTTGATGGACGTCCAGTACAAGATGGCGGCTGCCAAATCCATTGAGAATCCCCCCGAGGTCTTGAACAGGAACAGCATTTCAAACGGGCAGTGTGAGTCCGCCACGCATGTGGTCACCCTCTCGAAGAGCGTCACGTCAACTCAAAAGTGGGAGATCAATTTCGCCCTCACGGTGGGAGTCGGTACCACCATCGAGACGGGAATCCCCTTCATCGCCCAAGGGAAGATCGACCTCAGGGCCTCCTTCACCTACAGGTTGAACAAAGAGGACACCCGCTCGGAGACCACCACCCACTCTCTGACGCTGGAGACGACGGTGCCCGCCAGTCACTCGTGCGTCATCAAAATGGAGGGCAAGAAGTACAGCTTGGACGTCCCGTACACGGCGCGCCTCAAGCGCACCTACCGCAACGGGGAGACCACGTGGACCACCGTCACCGGGACCTTCAAGGGCGTCCAGATCTCGGAGGTTCAAGCTGATATGGAACGCTGCCGACGTCTGCCAAACGTTAGGCCTTGTTAAGACGACTTATCAGGTGTGAAAGTGAAATAAAAACAAGCTTCACGTCATCCTGCTTCCCCTTTCATTCAAATGCACCCACACATGCGTCCACCCTGCCCGTGTTTGGACAGGTCACCCCTCAATCGACGTTCGCACACACACCAAGCACCCATTTCGAGTCGCGAGAGCAGCCCATCCTCACATCCGATGTCCATCCATCCATCCATCCATCCTTCTTCCATCAATGTTGCCAGTCATGCATCCATGCATTCTTTGAGCATTGGTGCGTCCATCCACTCTTTCAACACTCAATGAATGTGCTCATCCATTGAGCCATTGTCCATTCTTTCATCCATCATCCGTCTCGTTATTTCCTCATCCATCCGTACGTCCATTCCATGTTTCATCCCATCCGTCCACTCATTCTTTCCTCGGTCGATCCGTTCACCGATCCATTCCTCAGTTTTTCCTGATGCCGCACATACATCTGTTTCATCATTCTCCCGCCCGTCCATCATGAAATGAATCCATCCAATCGTCTATTCAGCTGGTCGTTTCCTCATCCATCAGTCCATCCATCCATCAGTCATTGTTTTTTTGTCCATCCGAGCACCCGTCAATCATTTCCATTCTTTCATTTCATCTATCCAGCCGGTAAACTTGGGACAAGGTAATCCTAAAATAGATCCAGAGTGTGTCTTGCCGCGTGCCGGTCAATGTTTGATCCGGGGGAGGGGACGTCTTGTCAACGTTCGGCTGAAGGCGAGAATGCATTTTTACAGCTGCTGACCACCACAGTTTGGGAGCAGACCCTCTTGGACTGTTTCTGGAGATCTGCTTCTGCTCTGTATGTTGTCTCGGCTGCCTAATGAATCCGTCGGTGGGACTTCTGTTGCCCGGCCCTGTCCTTGGCCTAGGGTCCAGTCGGCGAACTGCCCCGATGGCAGCAACAACAATGACGCCTACGGTTGTTTGGCTTCTTTGTTATCTTCGCGGCGCTCCAGGAGTCAGGGTTCGGATTCGGCATTCAGGCGGTCTAGTGATCAGATTGAGGGGTAGAGTTTAGGATTGGGGTGATAGATAGTGTTTGGGTTAGGTCCATACAGACACCCATTTCACTAACGGCTGACAGAAACACGTCCAGACGGATTTACGCGTGTAATCCGCCAATGCACTACTTTAATCCGAGTCGCCCAGTCTCTTGGATGATCAGTCTGCTGGAACTGGATGTGATATGGGCTAGTGACGGCCGCTAGCCCCCAATACTTGGCTGTACCTTTTGTGACTCCACATTTTTGCTTTTTTAGGAGGACAACACTGGACACGACGACCTTTGATTTGGGTTGAGCCGGTGTCGGCCCAGCTCTTTTTGCTTTCGGGAAAATCACACAGGCACCAAGCCATCTGGAGTCTGCAGATCAGCCCATCCTTTCGTCCGCTATCCAACCACCAACTCCGGTCGATCAGTCTATGGATCTGTTCTCTGCCTTTTCAATCATCGAAGCATCTTCCATTGCTCCATTTTGAAATCCACCCATTCATTTTAGCCGGCCAAAGTATCTGTCTACTCATCCATCAATCGCCTACCCATTCATCTGTTTTTTTTCATCTATTCATCCATCCGTCATGAATCTATCCTCCATCCATCCATCCATCCATCCATCCATCCTCCACCGCCTGGAACAAACTCGCCACAATTTCTTAACTCATTGTGGTTTCTGCTCAGGAAACGGCGCCACACACGGGCTTGCTTGTTGTTTGAGTGGGTTCTCGTGGCTGAGGGCATGTCCTGATAAAACATGACTAACGTGCCATCGCCCTCTCCCTTTGGGCAAGCGAATCCTGAAACCGAGCCAAGGTTTGTCTCACCACCGTATTTGCACTGGTCAATGTTTTATTCGGAGGAGGAGGGCGGATTGTCCAAGAGCAGAGTATATATTGACATCTGTTGTGCCCACCGCTTCAGAGCAGACCTCCTTGGACTAGGTTAGCAATTCTGGTTCTGGTCTCCTGTGTGTTGTCTCCGGTTCCCGATGAATTCGTCGGTGGTACTGCTGGTGCTGGTTCTGCTGGCTATGGCCTCAGCCCAAGGTTCAGGCCGCCCACTGCCCCGTAAGACATGATAATGACTCCCGCGGTTGTTTTTCTTTGTTTGTTATCTTTTGGTACTCTCGAAATAAGCGTTTAGGTTCGGCGTAAATCTCGTGATAGGATTCAGAGTAGGAGTTGGGTTGGAATGTGTCAGGAAATAACAAGGTCAGAAATAAGAACGTTGCTAGCATCATATTTGCGAGTTTCTTTTCTGGAAAACATACAGATTAAAATTGTACCTAAATATGCGTTTTGGTAAAAAAAAAAAAAAAAAAAAAAAACGAATCCAGAGGCATTGTATTTATTCATTCATTTTCCGATCCACTTATCCGCACGAGGGTCATGGGGCATCCTGGAGCCGTCTTCGGGCAGTAGGCAGAAGACACCCTGAACCGATTGCCAGCCCACCAGCAAAGTGTCCGGGTTGTTCGGGGTTAGCTTAGGTTTTCAGTTAGCATTTGTGGTTTGTTCAAGTGGCTGAAAATATTGTCACGCATGCTTATCGGGACTCTTCTCAAACTGTGCTTTTTATGTTTTTCCTCGACTTCCGATCCAGAACCGGGCGTAGTTCCTCGACTGTCGGATGCCGGGTCACCGCGTCTGATAAGTGGGAACACCGACAGCAGAGGGACAAAGTCGGATTTTGACTTCGAGGGAACCAAGCTGGGGTGGCAGCAGTGGACGGGTAGTCTCCCCAACGGAGCTGTGTCCATTAAGAACGGCTACACCAAAAGCCTCGACTACATCTGCAAGCATGAGTGCGATTCAGGCTAATACAGACCCAGCCAAAGCCAGTTCTGTGTCTATACCTTTGGCGCCGAAGCCCGGCGGGCCGCCGACTTTTCTTTGCTGGTCAACAAAGACGAATTTGAGATCCTGGAGTGGAAGCAGGGCCACGACGGTTCAGTGGCCTGGAACGCGCTCAAGACTTGCGAGAACGGCGACAAATACGTTGGCAAGAACGCGTACGGTCTGGGCAAGGTGAGCGTCAGCGATCGGGCCTTTTACTTGCCCTGGGGCGCATACGAGTACAAGTACCCCAAAGACTATATGTTCTTGACCATCAACGAAGACATTCAGGAGGACCACCTGGAGAACGTGACCTACCACACCGAAGGCATCAATGTGGTGGAGCATCCACCGAAGATAATGAAGAACGACAGCGTCAAAAACCAAGACTGCCTGGCAGCCACGGTCACGGTCGTCATCACGACGAGCGACAACGTGGAACACAGGTGGCACGACACCTACGGCTTCTCCGTCGCCTCCAGCACCACCTTCAAAACCGGTATCCCCCAACTGGCTGAGGCAGGAATTCGCTTTAGTGTGGAGACAGACTTCGCTGTTACCACGGGCAACACCTACTCCGAGACCACCGAGCACACCGTCTCATTGAGCATGAAGGTCCCGCCCAACAGCAAGTGCAGAGTCCACATGGTGGGCAAGAAGCACGGAGCGGATATCCCCTACACGGCGCCCCTCAAACGCACTTATGCAAACGGCGAGACCAAGTGGACCACCATCACGGGCATCTACAGAAGTGTCCAGATCTCGTCTGTCGATGGCTTGCTGGACCGCTGTGAACGCCTGTCCAACGTCAAGCCTTGCTAAAACACCCCCCCCCCCCACACACACACACATACTTGTTTGGACTCTGATGAAGGTCCTTGTGAGAAGAAGAATTAAATGGAAATATCAAAGAACATCTTGTGTCTTCATTGCGCAAAACTCTTCAACATTTCTGTCCATATCAAAAAGAATTGGGTCTTGACTAAAACCAACGATGGTGGTTCCGATCGTGCTGCCCTATGTGTCCTGCCACATTTCCCTCACCCTCAAAGATAAACCAGTCAGACTTCAAGAAAAACGGACAGACAGTCAAACCTCGGTTTTCGTCCATAATCCGTTCCAGAAAGCTGTTCTAAAACCGAATTGTTCGAAAACCGAAACCACGCTCTTTTTAAAATAAAAATGTTTATTGAACGCGTCTGCTCACAATGGAAAGCGACACGAGGAAGCGTCACTTCCTCGTGTAAGGAAGGCGAGAGGAGTCAAATGGTGCATTCAAGTGCGCTCAATTTGTTTGAGAACCGAAATTTGTTCGTCATCCGAGGCATAAAAAACTCGAAATTTTTGGTCGAAAACCAATTTGGTCGAGAACCGAGACGTGCGAAAACTGAGGTTTGACTGTATATCTGTCAAGCCCGCTTCACGTGATCTCCCAATACAACCTTTGATGTGGTTTTGTCAAAATCAGCGGCACTTCTGCCGGGGATAAAACGTGGACATCCAGATTGCTGGAAACATCCGAGGCAATCTTGTGTCTTCACAAACCCGACAGGAATTTCTGTCGTCAAAGAATGTTTGCCTTACGACCTTTGCCTATTGGCAAAACCTCCAACAATTCGCCAATGAAACACATGCGTGTGTGCGGTTCTACAAATCGGAGACCCTCGTCGAGACTTCCGTCACCGAGACCACATTGTTGCTGTGAACATCGACGACAATCTCATTTTCCACCCTCCTTTTATCAATCTGTCATTAGTCTGTCCATTTTCTTATCCATCGATCTTGTCTATTTATCCATCATCAATCACTTCCAGTACCCAGCTGGTTTGTTTTTTTTTTTTACATCCATCCTCCGGCACGTCAAACAAACTCTCCACCATTTCTTTTGCGTTTGACTCAGAAGTCTGTCGCTCAAGCCAAATCGATTTCCCGATTGCTCTCAGGCAATGGCGGCACATGCGGGTTTGCCACGTGTACTACCGTATGTTGTTGGAGTGGTTTTGCGGACCCGCCAGAACGAAAACCCTCGGTAGCGGCGGCCGGTGTGATGATTCCAAAATCTGGACTCTGAACAATCCCAAAGCTTTATGGCCGTCATGAGCATTCGTTGAGTTCCATAGCATTTGGCAACACCAACGGCGCTTGGCCATCGTTTTGCGCTCCAATGTGGTTCCTTTTTGTTCTTATCATTTTGGCGTTGCTGTGCACAGTCCAGAGATCTAATTCTCCATTTAAAGGATTTGTTTGCACTGGTCAATAATTTATACAGAGCATGGCCGCACGTCAAAGTGCAGCCACAGCTCAGAGTACATATTTGCAGCCGCTGGACAACAGCTGACACACTTGTGGTAAGTGCATCTCTTCCTCACTCATCCTTGTTTTGGTTCCCCCGTGTCATTCTGATGCCCTTTTCATCCTCCTTGCATTGTCGCTTAACGTCGTTTGATTCCCTCCTCATCGTGTTGTTCCTTTTGATGCCCTCTCATCCAAGTGTAGGACCAAAACGAGATGGCCAAGCTGCGGGCTCCTCTTCTGCTGTGGGCTCTGGTGCACCTGACCTGCGCCAACCCCGTTGACAGCAATCAACGATCGACTTCAGGTGACGTCACGTGGTAGCCGGTCCTGGAGCGGTGGTTCTCAAACTCAGGGATGAGATAAACGTGACCTGGCCCATCTGGTCTTGGTTTTGAAAAATCCAATGTGGCCCTTGTGCATTCCGGGGTACGCGTGATCATTATTTTCAATTGGCGTCAGGATAAGAGCGGCCCCTGGAAAAAGAATCGGGCAAAGTACATTTGGCCCAGTCGCATGCTGAAACAGTGATTGCCATATGAGTGTAACTTTTGCAGATTGAGACTCGGGACTTACTTGCGACTTCGTCCCACCTTTGCCATTTTGTCACAGTCAAACCCTTTCGAATACTGGGCAGATGAGTCTCCGGTGACTCGGATTGTTTTCTTCTCTCCTTCTCACAACAGGTTTCCATCTGGATCCGGAGGACAAGCTCCCGGCGCAACCGCCCAGGAAAAGAGCTCTGAGGCCGTCATCGGACTTCTTGAGAAGACTGCAGGACACCCCGTCGACAGACTTTGACGGAACAAGCCTGGAATGGAAGTGGTGGGACGGCTCCCTCCCGGACGGCGCCGTGTCCATCTACAACTCGTATTCCAGCCGTGTGGATTACATCTGCAAAGTGGGCTGCCACTCGGGTTACTACGACTCCACGCTCGACAACGCCGCCTGCGCCTATGCCTCCGACGGGGCGGGCTACAGCTCCACGCAGTTTGAGGTCCTGGTCAACAAAGACGACTTTGAGATTCTGGAGTGGAAAGAGGGCTACGATGGTTCAGTGACACCCAATTCGATTAAGACCTGCGCCAACGACGACATTTACATCGGTAAGAATAAGTTCGGACTGGGGGAGGTCAAGGTGAGCGAAAAGGGGTTCAATCTTCCCTGGGGCGGAAGCCGTTATTGGTACAGCAGTTACATGGTCCTGGAGACCATGAAAGATGTCAGGAGAGAGCACCTGATGGACGTCAAGTACAAGACGGAGGGCGTCAAGCCCATCGAGTATCCCCCCGAGATCTTGAACAGGAACACCATTTCAAACGCGCAGTGTCAGCCCATCAAGCAAGAGGTCACCCTCTCGAAGAGCGTCACGTCAACTCAAAAGTGGGAGATCAATTTCGCCCTCACGGTGGGAGTCGGTACCACCATCGAGACGGGAATCCCCTTCATCGCCCAAGGGAAGATCGACCTCAGGGCCTCCTTCACCTACAGGTTGAACAAAGAGAGCTCCTACTCGGAGACCACCACCCACTCTCTGACGCTGGAGACGACGGTGCCCGCCGGTCACTCGTGCACCATCAAAATGCAGGGCAAGAAGTACGGCTTGGACGTCCCGTACACGGCGCGCCTCAAACGCATCTACCGCAACGGGGAGACCAAGTGGACCACCATTACCGGCACCTTCAAGGGCGTCCAGATCTCGGAGGTTCACGCTGAAATGGAACGCTGCCAACCTCTGCCCGATGTCAAGCCTTGTTAAGAAGACCCGTCGGGTGTGAAAGTGAAATAAAAACAACCATCACATCATCCTGCTTCCCCTTTCATTCAAGCGCACCCACACATGCTTGCCGTCATCAATCCGTTGTTTCATCCATTGTCTATTCTTGCATCCATCCTACCGTTTCATCATCCATCTGAGACGGGACCACTCAAAGAAAGCAAATCGAAACATGAGAGTCGTTAAGCAGCACTTTCTCTCGGTGCCTTCTTTCCTCTTGCCTTGCATGAGGATCAAACGTGAAGATTGGGTGCTGAAATCTCATTGAGTGGCGAATGCTTGGTGAATGTTTCGCACGAATGGCTCGACATGTATCGGAACCACGGTCCCGTGGTCTCTCGCAGGGGCGAACATGAAAAAAACGTTGAAACTGTCAGCAAAATAATGCGTTGGCAAGGAAAAGTGGAATATGCAAGGAAAAGTGTTGGCCAACATGTTTGCAATCCTTTCTGAACCACGACCGTGCCAAAAATCCACTTGAGCCTTCATTTCGATGTCTTTCCATTCACGCACACTCGTTACTTGCTCACAAGCAACAGTGTGTGGTTTGAGTGGTTCCAAGCGGTTTTAGGGTGTGACCAAGGACACGTCCTGGTTTAAGTCCTGATACACGTGACCGATGTGTCATCAATCACTCGCCGGTACCCATTGGCCAAGCTCACCCTGAAAGCCGTCCACAATGTCGACGATCACGCCGCTTTGTTTACGCTGGTCAACGTTCGATCCGGAGGATGGCATCGAGTCACAAGTGCGGCTGAAGGGCAGAGTACATTCTGTCTATAAATATTTGCAGATGCGAGCCGCCGCTTCAGAGCAGACCCTCTTCGGACTGGGTTTGGGAATCGGGTTCTGCCGTTCTGCGTGTCCCCTCTGGTGCCTGATGAATCCGTCTGCGATCGTCCTGCTGCTGGCCTTGCCGGCTCTGACCTCGGCCCAAGGTCCTGATTGCGCCCAGCCTAGTAAGTGACAACATGAGTCCCGTGTTTGTTTTTCTTTCTTGGTTTTCTTTTTAGTGGCCTGGGGGTAAGGATTTGGGTTTAGGATATGTGCTAGGTTTAGTGTTCGGGTTCAATGGTAGGGTTTGGCTTGAGGTTAAAAATAGTGTAAAATTGCAGCTCAATATATGTTTGGGGGGAAAACCCCTACTGCCAAAGCCACTGTAACAATGTGAGCTGGGTGAGCGGCTTTGGCCGAGTGTCTGGGTTCTTCGGATTTGGCTTAGGGGCTCTCCGCAAGCATTTGTGGTTTTGTTCAAGCTTGAATTGAATACAACTTTATTTTCAAGCTGCTAAAAAGATCGTCACGCTTGGTTGTCGGGGGGTTTTCTTCAACCGTGTTTTGTGTGTTTCTCGGGCATCCTGCACAGAGATAGTGATGGACCCGGCTCTGATCGACGTGGTTCCTCAACTGTCGGGTGCCGGCTCCCCTCGTTTGATGCTTTCAAACACCTCCCAAGCGGCGGGACCGTCGTCTGATTTTGATTTTGAGGGAACCAACCTGGAGTGGCAGCAGTGGACGGGTAGTCTCCCCGACGGAGCCGTGTCCATTTACAACGGCTACACCAAAAGCCTCGACTACATCTGCAAGCACGAGTGCGATTCAGGCTACTACAGACCCAGCGAAGGCGACTTCTGTGTCTATTCCTATAGCGGCGAAGCCGTGCGGACCGACGACTTTTCCTTGCTGGTCAACAAAGACAAATTTGAGATCCTGGAGTGGCAGCAGGGCGCCTACGGTTCGGTGGCCTGGAACGCGGTCAAAAACTGCAAGGACAGCGACAAATACGTCGGCAAGAACGCGTACGGTCTGGGCAAGGTGCATGTGAGCCATCGAGTCTTTTACTTGCCCTGGGGCAAATACGAGTACAACTACCCCAAAGACTACATGTTCTTGACCATCAACGAAGACATTCAGGAGGACCACCTGATGAGCGTGACCTACCACACCGAAGGCATCAACGTGGTGGAGCATCCCCCGGAGATGATGAAGAACGACAGCGTCGAGAACCGAGAATGCCTGGAAGCCACCATCACGGACACCCTCAGCAAGAGCAACAAGGTGGAGCACAGGTGGCAGCACACCTTCAGCCTCTCCCTCGCCGCCAGCACCACCTTCACCACCAGTATCCCCCACCTGTTTGAGGGGGCCATTAAATTTAGCATAGAGACCAACTTTGCCGTGACCATGGGGACCACCTACACCGAGACCACCGAGCACAAACTCAAGTTGACCACCAAGGTCCCGCCCAACAACTTGTGCAGAATCCACATGGTGGGCAAGAAGTACGGAGCGGATATTCCCTACACGGCGCGCCTCAAACGCACTTACACAAGCGGCGAGACCAAGTGGACCACCGTCACGGGCACCTACAGCAGTGTCCAGATCTCGGAGGTCAACGGTATGGTGGACCGCTGTGAACTGGTGCCGGATGCCAAGCCTTGCTAAATCGCACACACACACGCTTGTTTGCGCTCTGATGAAGGTCCTTGTGATAAGAAGAATAAAATGGAAATCCTCACGTCTGCATAACGGCAAGAACATCTCGTGTGTTGGTCGTCCAAAATGTCGGCTTTTCGTCACACCTCAAAGAGCGTTTGTTGGTCACCAAAACTAAGACGCAGCTTGCGCAGAGGCCATCCTGTCGACATTTCTGTCCGTTCGACAGAAGACGAGACACTAAAAAAAAAAAAAAAAAAAAAAAAAGAAATGACCTCTACTTTTAGTTCTTCTACTTTCTTCTTTTCATAACTTTGCTGTTGTAAACTGTGAATTTCTTCATGGTGAGACGAATAAAGGTTTTCTTAACTCCTTCAATGATCACGCTGTTGATGTTTCTTGCAATTTATTCACAGGCGAGTCAAGAAGGTGTCAAAGTGTAACAGACACACATAAAAACACTTCGACGTTGTTGGAAAATAAAACGTGGCAAGACAACGCGCCCCTCTGGTCTGCTACGTGACGAACGCGTGGCTACGCTAGTGTAGCTAAACATTAACCAGCAAATGCGCTAATCGCTGTACCTAAATGCTCACCGTGAACAATTGGAACGCCCTTCAAATGTAAATATACGGCGAACAAACCCCACCAATTAATAACGTTGCATAAATTGACATAATAGATACACATACAGGCTGTGCTTGGCTTACGACACGAAGTTGCAGTCCATCGATCGTACGTTCCCCGTCCCACGTGAAACAGGAAGTGTCTCACTCAACAACGTCCGGTGTGCCCTTCACAATAACAAATTAAGCTCACAAAATAAAGGAGCCTGTAACTAGAGTGAACTAGAAAACAAATGTTACGTGGCTCTTCAGGAGCCAGCACACACACACACACACACACACACACACACACACACACACACACACACACACACATAGTATATACGCTCTGGTCAAATCAAAGACTCGACTCAACTCACCTCAACTGTATTTCAAATGCACTTTAATAAGATAACCAGCGCGCTATGCGAAGTGCTGTACAAAAAAGAAACTAACAATAAAACACACAAAATGAATAACAAGTAGACAGCCCCAAAACAGCCCAAGTGAGAATGGAAGTCTCATGCGAAATTAGCCTCAAAGCCTTCCATCAGCTCAACCTCTGGTTTCTGTCAACATCAAAGATTCAGTTCCACTGACTGTGGGGTTTTTTTTTTTGCAAACATCACGACAAACGAGTCGTCAATAAAGATTTTTTTATTTTGTTACATCTGCTTTGCCGCTTCCATACACACGAGGGAGCTCAAGGTGCTTTGAGGCGTTGAAAGAAATTGAAAAGGGAAAACTGGAAGTCAGCTCAAGAATAGGCCCGAGGAGACAAGAGGGGCTGCACTTTGGTCCCGATGACTCTTCCCTATCATCTTCGATGAGCCTCCATTTATCACACACGTGTTTATGATAAGGCCGCCAGGTCGGAACGGCGAGAACATTTCCCAAGATTTGGGGCGATTACGAGCCATCGGCGAAGGAGACGGAGCCTTTTCCGTTGCCGCTCCCTCTCTTTGGAACAACATCCCGCTGAACGTCGGGCAAGCGCCCTCGCGGCCCAGACGCGAAGCTCGTATTGAAACTTTGTTCTTTGGCTTTTGACTTGGCAAAGAGGCTTGATTTTTTTTTTTTAGTTGGCCCGCTTTGGTGCTTTGGACTGTTTCCGCGATGCATTCGTTGTTTTATTGTTTGTTGTTGTCTGAATGATTTTTGCTCCATGTGCAGCGGTGGTTGTTTTCAAGTGCTGGACAAATCCACTTGAGTCGGGTGGAGTTGCTTGTGTCCATTTCAGGGGGCGGCCATGTTGCCACTCGCTGTCGACTGAAAACGAAGAAGAGCTGTCGTGTTGAGTCTGATGGCTGAGGACCAACAAAAGCGGAGAGGCAGGAGAAGCGGGGTGTACCCTGTAAAAATATCGTGAGGAAAAACACTGAGAGGAGCATAATGAACAAACTAAATCAATGACACAAACAAAAGCCTGAAAAAACCCGCGAACTCAAAGTAACAAAGAAGCAAAAACTCCCAACGGTCGCACAAAGTCCTGAAAATCACACCGAACCAAAACCCGTGACGTTCAAACAAGAATCTGTGCCGGAGGGGTCGGCGTGGCAGCCGTTTTCAAAGGAAAGAACTCCTGACTGGATGACCAACGGGTGCGACTCTCGAGGAGAAGCCCTCCGATGCCCCCTGTTGGTGACAAACGGAACAAAAGCATAACAACAGCGGACTCGTGATGGCTCGATACCTGCGCCCTGCGTGACTTGGTGCATCATTCACTTACTTGTGTGTTACAACACGTGTTACGCATGTGTTACGTTGTGCGTCGCATGTAGTGTTACTTCAGGTCTTAGCCGCCGACTTGCGTGTTATATTGCGTTGCGAGACGTGTCGCAGCTGCGTTGTGTGTCACCGGACGTTTCAGGCGTGTTATTTTGTGGCGGTTTGCATCGGGTGCGGTTACGCTGGGTGTTACGCGGCGTGTCATCAGAGCTTCAGAGTGGTTTTGACTGCGTGCCGCATGTGCGTAAACGGCGCGTGGCAGCTTTGCACCTGTGTTACGGTGACGTGTGACGCCTGCTTGAAAATGGGTTTTGCGCGTGGCAGCGGGCGTGACGGGCGATGCGACCTGTGCGCTACGATGCGGGTAAATTGTGTTGCCTCGACCCGGGGGTCGCGTTGCGGTAAATGCACGGTTGACGGTTGTCGCGCGTGTGTTGCTTGCTGCGTCGGCGTTGAGGAAGGCGTGTCCGTGCGCCGGCGGCGTATAAAAAGCAGGCGTGGACAGAAGAGGAGTCCGAGGGAGGAGCACGCGGTCAGGGTGAGTCCCCGTTTCAACCATCGGAGCCGAAGCCGTCGTTCACGGATCAACATCGTCGTCGTCGTTGTCGTGTTCATCGTGACAATCGTGCCTGAAACATGAACTGATTGCGATGAGATCAATGATGTGGAAATGACAGAGTTCCTTCCGACTTACGGGATGACTGCTTTGTCCGATGACAGCTCGTGCGCGCTCATTCTCATTCTCTCTCTCTTTCTCGCCTACTTGGAAAATTTTTGGTCTGCGCTGACAAAACGCACGCGTGCTCCCCTTTGCGCTTATCGGCAGCTTTTATTGCCCAAATGGCTCGCGGCTTCCTCTTTTCTCTTCCGTCCTCGCTAATCAAAGCATTCCGCGCACCAGAGGAACAACGGTCTCTTAGTCGTCGAGTTTTTTTCTGCCCTTCTAGTAATGATTCGGCAACAAACCTGACTGGTTAAAAAAAAAAAAAACACGAGCAGCAACACGACATGAGAAGTTCAGTCGTCACAACTTGGCATGCCGGTCGCACAGCGACATGGCACAACTCGTGGACATCATGCGTGCCGCTAGCGCTACTATTTAAGCGTTGGATATTGAACGAGTAGAATTTTAGGATTCTTGAACGTCGCGAACAGTACTCGCGGAGCACGGTTGGGTTCGGTCAACTCGTGCGCAGTCGCATGGAGCCGTCTCACTTGTTTCATGTTGTCTGACGACCAGATGAGGGCGCTGTTGTTGCTGTGTGTGCTCTTGGGAGGGGCCCGTGCTGGGCCGCTCGACGTCATCCGGGGGAGCGCCCAGCGCAGGAAAGGTGAGGGGATGCCTGCCTTACCGTCGACTCTTAATCGCTCTCTATCGAGATGAATATCCGGACCGTCGCGTCTCTTCGCAACGCTTTGGCTTTTTCCCCCCGCAGCGTCCCTTCTCAACCCGCAGCTAGAGGGCGTCGTTCCCGACCGGGTTCCGGCTCCGGCCCCGCCCGTAGGTCCGGACGGCCCCGCCGACCTGCTGCAGCGGGAGGCCCTGCCATCCGACTTCCTGTTCGGCGACAACGTCAACCTGGAGTGGCGGCCGTGGAACGGCTCGCTGCCCGACGGCGCGGTGGCGATCTACAACGGCTACACGGAGCGCACCGACTACGTGTGCATGTACAAGTGCGAGGCGGGCTTCTACAACGCCGCCCTGGGGCCCTACTGCCGCTACCCCTACGGGGACGCCGAGTATTACGCCCGCGAGTTCCACGTGCTGGCCAACAGGGACAACTTTGAGTTCCTGGAGTGGAAGGAAGGCTCGTACGGTTCGGTGCCGCCGCACTCGGTGCGCACGTGCCTTGGCGTCGGCATCTTTGTGGGCAGGAACAAGTACGGCCTGGGCAAGGTGGTGCCGCAGTTCGAGGCCTTCTTCCTGCCGTGGGAGGGCGACGAGTACTGGTACAAGAAGTACCAGGTCTTGACCATCAACCGGGACGCGTACACGCAGCACATCTCCCACGTGCGCTACGACCTGGACCGGGTGGCCATCTTCCAGTACCCGCCCGAGACCATACAGGTCTCCGCCGTCACCAACAACGAGTGCCAGGTGGGGAATTCCTCGGACGTGTTCTGCGGGCACTAACGGGAACAAATCTCCATGCGAAATTTCCATGTAGCGACTTTGAATTTCCACCCCTGCAGGCGGTGAGCAAGACGGTGACCATCTCCAAGACCAGCGAGAAAGAGACGACGTGGCACATCGGGCGGGCCACCATGCTGGGCATCACCGGCAGCATCACGGCCAAGATCCCGCTGATCGGCTCGGGCGGTCTGGAGCTGAGCGGCGAGAAGACGCTGCGGTTCTCCCGCGGGACCACCCTGGTGGAGGCCCTCTCGCACTCAGTGTCGGTGGAGCTGACGGTGCCGCCCAACCACTGGTGCCGCGTGCGAATGGAGGGCCGCAAGGTGAAGGCCGACGTCCCGTACACGGCCCGCCTCAGCCGCACGTACCCCAACGGCGAAACGCAGTGGACGTCCGTGTCGGGCACCTACGACGGCGTCCAGATCGGAGAGGTGCGCGCCGTGGTGGACCGCTGCCGCCCCGTGGAAGACGCGCCGCCCTGCCCGTCGCCGTGACGACCGGGATGTCATCGTGTCCGTCGCCGGCTTCATCGTTGCCAATAAAGATTTGACTCAAACTGCTCGTTTTCATGGCGTGTGTCTTCCGAAGTTCGGTTTCAAGCTGTGGTGAAGGTCTTCAGATGAGGGTACGGTTTCAAGTCCGGGTATGGCTTTCAAAGCAGGGTTAGGGTTTAAAGTCAAGGTTCCAAATGAGGGTTTCAAGACAGCGTTATGGTTTCCAGTTTGGGGTTCAAGTCTGATTAGAGCCAAGGTTTCAAACTGGGATGACAAATTGGGGTCTGAATTGAGAAACTCAAAACCCCGAGTTCCAAACATCGCTTGCGGGTCGTCAAATTAGCGTTTCACGCTTGGGTTGGGTTTTCAGTACAGGCTGAAGGCTTCAAACGGGGGATTTGAATTCAGGTTGGAAGCGACAGATGAGGGTGCGATTTTCAAGTCCGGCTTTCAAATTAGGGTTAGCGCTACGTCCCAGAAATGACGGTTTTGAAGGCTGCCAACTCGGGTTCGGGCTCCAAGGCTTCAAATGAGAAGGATTCGAATTAGGGTTCGAAACTAGTTTGAAATTACGGTTCCGTTTTTAAGCCTGGGTTTGGCTTTCAAACAAAGTTTGGGAGTCAGAAGTCGAGGTTTTCCATGAGGCTTTCAAGCCAGGCTTAGACCTTTAGGGTAAGTCTTCAAACGAGCATATCAAATCGGAATCCGATTTGTTGGCCAGTTATGCAAGAAACACACGAGGCATGGACTTCCCAGTTCCAACCCGTTCAGAGGAACACACACAAGACAGCAAGAAGTGCCAAAGTCGGGTTGCGAGCCAAGCAAAGGGTTTTCCAACTGCGTTTCGGGTTTCCAGCTAGTCCAGCTTTCCCAAGAAAGCTTTCGAGCCTGCGTTGCGCTTCCAAGGCAGGCTCGAAAGCTGGACTTTCGGGCTTTCGGGTCAAGTTTTCAGAAGCCAGCCTTTCAAAGTCAGAGTCGGTCGGGGTTTGCAGGGCGGCTGGGTTGAAGTTTCAAAACGAGGGTCGGGGGCGTCACCCGGTCTGGTTTGAAAGTAAGCGACACGGAACGGGATGAGTCCGCGGCATCTTGCCGTTGGTCATCTCGATGTCAGAAGCCAGCCGCTCTCGCAAAGGAAACGTGGAAAAGCAAGCGACGCGTCGCCAGCACGACGGCAAAGGGACACGTTCAATGACACGAAAAGATCTCAGCCACGCGTCAGAAAAGAAAAAAAAACAACCAAAAAAAAAAAGAGGCTGAAGGCCGCGCTCATCGACCTTGAAGCCAAGGTCGCTCAGGCCGTCAAGGTCACACGCCGGCCTCGTGGCGTTCTTATCGCAGGCGATAAGATCGCCCACGCCGATTATTTTTATCTGTTGCGACAGCGCAAGCGAATCCGCCGGCGTTATCTGCTGCGCTCGACCCAAAGTCAACAGAAGGATTCCAAAGGCTGAGCCCCCGCGGCGCCATCTCCTGCTCACTTTGGGCCCTTCGGGTACTCGGCAACTCTTTGAACCCGAAGGATACGCTCGGGGGTCGAAAAGCCGGAAAGGCCGGAGGACGGAGCCGACGCTCGCTCGGCCGCGTGTCAAACCGCCGCGGAAGAGGAGAATGGACTCCGCGTCCGATTTTGTTTGGCTTCGGGTGACCTCCGCAAGTGGCCCGTCTCGGCCTGTAGCCGAGACCCATCTCGGTTCAGGGTTTCAAACGAGGGTTTTAAGCGACGCTTCGACTTTCAAAGTATGGGCGTTGAGCTACGTTGAGTGCTTCAAAGCAGGGTTTTGAACTTGCGTTCAGGTTTTCAAGTAGGATTTCGACTGAGGCGCAGGGTTTCAAAGCACGCTTTTGAATGATGTTTATGGCTTCAAAGTAGGGTTTCAATCTAGGGTTGGGGTTTCAAAGTAGGGTTTTAAATTAGTTTCAGGGTTTTAAAGTCAGGTTTCGATCAAGGGTTAGACTTTCAAAGTCAGGTTTCCGACTTGGGTTGAGGTTGCCAAGTATGGTTTCAAATGAAGGTTAGAATTTCATGTTGGGTTTTACCCCAGGATTCGGGTTGTAAACATGTGTTTCAAAGTCAGGTTCCAAGGCAATTTGGGGGTTCCAAGACAGTGATAGGGAGTTAAGGCAGGCACAAGGTTTTCCGCCAAGTTGATATTGATGTGTCAACGCCTTCTAGTGCAGTGCGAGTCGTGTCCTTTATTGGGTTCGAAGGTCGCCTTGGAGATGTTAAAACGGCGCCCGCGTGCGCCAAACGTCGAGACCAACGCGGCGGACCGGCGACGCGTCAACGAGGTAAAGCTTCACTGCAGAAACGCAAAACCTCGAATTAAAAAAAAAAAAGGTTTGGCTCCACTTTGCTGCCCTCTATGCAGACACGCAAAACCTCGAATTAAAAAAAAAAAAAAAAGTTTGGCTCCACTTTGCTGCCCTCTGGAGACGCGTAAGAGAACTGCATGCTAGACAGACTGGGGAGGGGGGCGCGTTTGTCAGAAGAAGACCGCCAAGCCGAAATACACTTTTTTGGAGGAACTTACTGCTTGGAAAAGTTTTGATACAACTTTTCAAATGTTTGAAAGAATAGTTTAGACTCTGAACTGAACAACTTGTTGCTTTTTGTTTGTTTGTTTGTTTGTTTGTTTTTGTTGCATGCGACCATTTGTTTGCAGATGAGGACGTGTCTCGTTGCTTTGGTGTCCGCGCTTCTGCTGCAGCTCTGCAGCCCAACGCTGCAGTCGGACGCACGCCAGTCCAATGACGGTAAGTCATGAATTGAAACAAACACATTTGAAAAATGGGAGGGGGGCGACTTTTACTTATTTTGGGGGGGGGGGAGTCCATCTTTAATCCTGAACGAAAAAGACTACTTTATTCTTCTTGAAAAATGATGTGTTTGTCAAGAAAAAAAACTTGACAAATACAACTCTGTAAAAAAAAAAAAAAAAAAAAACAAGGAGAAACTTAAATTCTACCCAAACAATTTTATATCTCGATAAAAGGCTTTGAATTTGTCAACGATTGCTGACGTAAGCGTTTTTGCGCGTCTGTGTGTGAGAAGACGCGCGGCTGAACGTGGCCCTGGGGGAGGTGGTCCCACCCCTGGAGGCGGGCCGTGACCCCGCCCCACGAGGCCCGGGCTCCTCCTCCTCCTCCTCCTCCTCCTCGGCCGACTTCGGCGAGCACGCCAACCTCAGGTGGGTCCCGTGGAACGGCTCCCTGCCCGATGGGGCGGTAGCCATCTTCAATGGCTACGCGCAGCGCACCGACTACGTGTGCAAGGTCGATTGCGAGGCGGGCTTCTTCGCGGGCGACGCCTGCCGCTACCCGTACGCCGACAAGGAGTACGCGTCCACCGACTTCGACGTGCTGGTCAACGTGGACCGCTTCGAGTTCCTGGAGTGGGCGGAGGACTCGTACGGCTCGGTCCCCTCGCACGCCGTCCGGACGTGCCGAGACGTCGACATCTTTGTGGGCAAGAACAAGTACGGCCTCGGCAAGGTGGGCAAACGTGAATCAAAAAATTCTGAGAAGTCGAACTCCATTCTTGAAGGGGATTTTTTTTTTTTTCTTGAATCTTTTTCAATCGCACGAAGGTGGTGAGCCAGCACGAAGCCTTCTTCCTTCCGTGGGAGGGCGACGAGTACTGGTACAAGAGCTACCAGGTCCTGCGGGTCAACCCGGACGTGTACAGCCAGCACGTCTCGCACGTGGAGTACGCCGTGGACCAGATGAAGCTCTTCCACCACCCGCCCGAGACCCTGCAGCTGGCCAAAGTCACCAACCTGGAGTGCCGCGCCGTGCGCAAGACCGTTTCGCTGGACAAGACCAGCACCAGCGAGAAGACCTGGGACATCGGCCGCGAGACCCGCAATGGCTCCGTGTCCACCATGAAGGCCAAGGTGCCCATCCTGGGGCCCGGCAACGTGGACTTCACCGAGGAGCGGACGGTCACCTTCGCCGAGGGGACCCGCCTGCTCGAGTCCGTGAGCCACTCGGTCAGCGTGGAGATCCTGGTGCCGCCCAACTTCTGGTGCGGCGTCAGGATGGACGGACGCAAGATGAGAGCCGACATCCCCTTCCGGGCGCGGCTGAGTCGCACCAACCACAACGGAGACACGCACTGGACCTCCGTCGCGGGGACCTACGACGGCGTCAGCGTGGGCGAGATCAACGCCGTGGTGGAGCGATGCCAGCCGGTGGCCGACGCCGTTCCGTGCCGGCTCACGCAAGGCTGAAAATTACAAAAAAAAAAATGTGGTTTTGCACGAAGAAATAAAATCTTTTCACGAAGATTACGGAGGTGTTCCGATGGTGTTGTCTATTTTGACTGCATTCCTGTCAACTTGGGGGAAGCCAGTTTTACTCAGCAACATGAATCTCTGTCATCCGTAGATCCACAAAATCCTTTTTTTTTTTGTCAAGAACCCATGCCGGAAAAGAGACAAAAAGTTGGATGTTTTGATTCAAAGCGGCCACTTTAGGGTCAGTTGTGGCACCGGGTTTGTTTTTCCACCACCAAAATCGGCTCGAGCGCTGGTGCTCCCCCTCCAGGTCACCTTACCTGCACTTGAACAGACATCGTTTAGATGAGAAAAATAAAAGGGATGCAAAACGCTGGAGAAGGGCCCATCGATCTCTCGCATGCTAAGCGAGCGCTCGACCAATGCCAAGAAAAAAACTTCATTGATTAAAACTCACTACTTGTTCACAAAGGGCTATATTAGGCTACGAAAAACAAAAAGGCGATAATGGCCCAAGGTTCTACTTATTTTGCTTCTTCAAGGTGTGACTTCGAGAGTTCATAGAATGTTGTAGTTGTGAGGTCGCCTCGCCAGGTGTCGCTGTGTGCTTAGTGGAAGGAAAGCAGGCTCGTATGTGTCCAAGAAGAAGACTCATAAGCGACACTAAATAATGAGACTTTTCGCGAATATGTCATATACAAATTGATAATATTGACATTAATGTCACAAATGTCTTTATCGAGCTATATGTTGTCTTCGCCTGTCTCCCCTTAGTAAGTCGTTCGAACATTGTTTGTTGTAAAGTTTAAAAGAATGAGCTAGCGAGGCACGGCATGCTAAACCGTGGTTGCTAACCCGGACTTTGCCACTCAAAAGCCATTTCACCGTTGATCAAAATAATGTTTTTTGCCAACGTTCGCCGTCTTTAATTCCACTTTGTCAGAGGCCGAATGATAAAGCGCCTGCTCGTTGGCATATTGACGTGCCTTTGTTGCACTTTTCGCCCACCGCGCCGCTACTTTCTGACCATGCGACGTTTTTTGACGAGAATGGTGAGCCGGCTTTGGCTGTGCGAGCCGGTCGCGGTGGCGATGAGCTCCGAAACGCCAGTGCGAGCGCAAGGTCGACGAAGGATGGTAAGCGTCAAAATGAGTCTTTGTCGGTTGTGTCTTGTGTCGACTGGACGATGTCACCAAAACTCCACGTTGGGTTGAAGTGATACTCAAGAAATGTGTATAATTCCCGAAGGGAGTCCGAACGAAGAAACTCCGCCGGAAAAGTGGTCCTTAAAATAATGACGGGCACAAAACGGCATCGCTGAAACACAGTAAAGGGTTTTCTCTGCTTCTCTTTCTTGAAACAAAAACTCAATCTGCGCACTGATACCTCCTTTTTTTTTATTGGTAAATAAATGGAAGACTATATTAAAATGGTTTCTTTCAAAACTACTTTCAAAAAAAGGCTAGTCACAAAAAATATCTCACCTGAATTAATAAACATTTACGACGGTAATTATTTTTTAATTGTGTTGTCCCCTCAAAAAAAAATACACTTGACTTTCCTATATTCTACTTTTTATCTGTCGTTAAAAGATTTGTTCTCATAATGCAGAAATGATTCCTCTTGCTGTTACTTAAAAGCCTATTTTCAAGTTATTCTATTTCTTTCATTTTGACTTTGTTGGAAAAATAAAATCAGACTTCTCAAATGCCCTTTCAATTGTTTTCTGGAACAATCAGACTTCCTTTTCAAGTAAACACGACTATTCCCATCAATTAATTTTGAAGGGAAAAAAAATGACCCCCCCAAAAAAAAGAATTCTCTTACATGTATTAATATACCCCCCCCCAAAAAAAAGAAAAACAATTCTGTCTGTTTTTGTCTTCTTTACTTGTAAAAAAGTCAAAACAAGACTTGTTTTCTCAGAATGATGACGACCTGTTTCCAAAATATTCCGGGCTGCATCAGCATCCTCCTTTTGTTGTGTCCGCTTCAGGTGGTGGGCCTGGGCAACCCGGGCATGGAGGGCACCCGTCACAGCGTGGGCATGGCCGTGGTGGGCGCCCTGGCCGTCCGCCTGGGCCTCGGCGAGCGTTGGCGCCGCGATAGGCAGCTGAACGGCGAGGTGCTGGAGGCGGACATGCACCACCTGGTGCTCTTGCGCCCCCGCGTGCTGATGAACGTCAATGGCGTGGCGGTGGCCAAAGCAGGTATTTTATTTATTTAAAAAAAAAACAAAAAACGCCATGATCGACCCCAATGCGAGCGGACTGTCACGTGATCCCCTTCTGTTTAGCCAGCAAGTACGGCGTGCGGCCCGAGGACATCCTGCTGGTCCACGATGAGCTGGACAAACCTTTAGGAAAGGTCGGCATCAAACACGGGGGAAGCGCCAGGTTGGTCCCGGAAAGCCGCTTTCCCTTTCACACTGCCTCAAACGATTCAGCGAATAACTTGAATAAATTGAAATTGAAGGACCCTGTACGGAAAGTTTTTAATTCTGGGATTTATGATTCATTTTGTGAAGAGCTGATCGGTTCTCTCCTCCCTCCCCAGAGGCCACAACGGTGTCCGGTCCTGCATGGACTGCCTTCACACAGACGTGAGTACCTTTTCTTTGTGACCGGTCGCGCCAAACTACCCTCCTCTCCACGTCCCGTCCTTTCCGTTGCCCGCCCCCCAGGTGATGCCCAGACTACGAGTGGGCATCGGGCGGCCGACGGGAAAGACTTCGGTGGAACGCCACGTCCTGGGGCGCTTCGGTGCGGAGGAGACGAAAGTTCTGGATTTGGTTCTGGTGCAGAGTGTCAACGTTCTGATGGCTCAGCTCGGAGAACAAGAAGAGGAGGAAAGACGCTCCTCATCTCCCTCGCAAACCAAAGTGGCCAGCGTAGACCCTCTGCCGACACGCACGTAGCATATGGCGACGAGCTATTTAGCATCCGAAGCCCACCTACCAGCATACACCTTTGATCGGCACTATTTCCTGATCATGGATGTTAATGCCGTGGTCTGTTGTTTTCAGTTAACGTTGATGGACAAAAAAAAAGAATCTTTGGTGCAATTTTTTCCCCCCTCTAGTGACTTTTCTGATGAAAGCAACTGTTCATCGGGATAGTTGTCCGTCCCAAAACTGATTTTTGTTTTGTTTTTTAAATTCAACCAAAGCTTGCGCAATAAGATTACCAAGCGTTGTGATTTATAGCTATGAGGTTTGTGGGGGGTAAAAAAAAAAAAATCACCTGTTGCTGAAATTAACATTAATTCATAAATATATTACGTACATATTGTTATGAAAACCTGAAGATTCAGAGTCAGGAATAAAAAATATCCCCCCCCCAAAAAAAAAGTTTGCTTGCATCTCTGATTATAAAATAGTAAAAAGACTCATCGACTCAAACACCTTTTTCTACTCGTAACAATGTTGTGTTTCGACACATGCGCGATAGTTTGGGCGAACAATTTGGCCGTAATTATTAGTGCACAAAGCATTTGCTAGCACAACGTGGTGAGCATGATAAAGCATTTGAAAACGCTACACATGAGCTACAATCGTTAACACGCCACAAATGTGCGTCCCCTGCCCCCGCGTCAGGTCTCCACGAAGGTAAGCGGTCATTTCCTTTTCACAAACTCTTGTGTCTGCTTTATTTTTCTGTTTCGTTCATCTTAGGGTGTGTGATGGCTGTCGCTCATCAGGGCATGCGTGCGTATGCGCGCGTGCGCAGTAACGGGTCGATCGAAAAAAAGATCTTTGGTCCAAAAGGGTTGGGCACCCCGATATAAATAACCGTTCCAAAATTACGCAGCACACATCTACGACAAACTGACAAAGACAAACTGCTGTTTTTCCATTGATGAAAATATGCACATATGCATTTATGAGTTTTGTTTTTTTTTTTTTTACCTGCTCCAAAATCTCTCGTCCTCATATTAGGTGGCCAAAAGATTAGGAACAGCAAACAGCGTGATACAGTACTTGAATATTGTCTTTGCAAATGCGCCGTTTTTTTGTGTTTTTTTTGCATTGGCGGTCATTCCATGAAGTGTCCACATGTGGAAATAAATTATCAACACAATACTGCATGTTCAGAATAATTGAACCATTTGCTCCACAGGCGCTCCTTAGCGCCGCCTGGTGACAGAAACAAACGTATGCATTGGACCCCCCCCCCCCCCACACACACAAAAAAATGTTGAAAAATATCCTCTATTTCTTTTTAAAAAGATCCTTCCGTTGAACGTGGAAACATCTTGGCCTTCCTGGGTTCTGATGCAATTTCTCACAAATGGAACTACAAATGTCTTCTTTTCCCTTTCAGTCGTTGTTGGTGAGGTTTGATGTTGTGTTAAAAAAAAAAAGATCTATCACTGAATAAAAAGGGAGTCACCAGGAGGATCGGGGGGCTCCAAACCTCTGCCGCACCCGCTCGGCCGTCACAACAGCAGGTTGATCTTGGCGGGCACGCTTTTGCAGCCGCTGGTGGAAAAGTAGTGTCCCGGCGACGGCTGGTAGGTCATGTCGGCCGCCGCCGCGCGTGCTACGTCGCGGCGCCCACAGGCGCCGCGCTGGCACAGCTGCGCCTGCGCGCATCGCTCCACGTGGTGGCGGCACAGCGGCAAGAAGGGCACAAAGGCGGTCACAAGCTTCTGACGGATGATGGGCGAGTTGTAGAGGCCACCTGGGGCGGGACAAAACGTCAGCTTGATTGGAACAGTCATGAAAAAAAAAAAAAAAAAGCTTTTTCCTTATTGTGTCGTCATGATGGGATTGATGCTGCGACCGAATGCTTTTGGGCAAAGGAAAGGGTGTCACTCACTGGTCGGGTTGTCGTAGACGGCCCGAGCGATGGCGTCCTGCAGCTCGGCCGCCGTCATTTCCTCTCGGTCCCGCCCGGCCTCACGTTGCTCCAGGGCCGCTTTGTTGATCACCTCCTCACCCGCCGTGCTGAACAAACAAACGAAAGGCACAAATAAAAATGGGCCGCCAACTCTTGCCGAGCAACAAGTGACATTTTAACAAGCAAATGACATTTAGTGGTACACTAAATCAGGGGTCCCCAACCGCCGGTCCGCGGACCGGTACCGGTCCGCAGGGCATTTGGTACCGGGCCGCACAGAAAGAACTTGCCTTAATTCCGTTTCATTTATTTCGGAATATGAAAGATGTTTTATTTTGAAAAATTACCGGATTCTCCGTTACATCCGTCTGTGTCACGCTTGACACATGTCAAGCCGCGCTTCTTCGTCACGTGACCGATTACGCTAAAAACAAAACGCTAGAGCTCGCAAAATGAGTAATAAAAGTGCTGGAGAGCGCAAATGACGGCGGCCTTAAAAGTACGTTCGAGACAACTGGATTAAAGTTATGGCTGAATATTCTGAGATCGCCACAGTAGCACTGTTGCTATTTCCGACATGCTACCTGTGTGAGGCGGGGGTTTTCTGCAGCAACGGCGACTAAAACAAAATTACGAAGTAGACTGGACACACTTGAGGTGTCATTGTCTCCTATTACCCCGAGATGGGACCGTCTGGTTGCAGAAAATCAAGCTCGGGGCTGTGGTGAGTCGTCATTGTCATGCACTTTGAATTTGCGTTGTACGTATTTTGAAGGCATTAAACATTACCATAGCGATCAGAGAGAGTGTTGCGGCCAGATTAGACGCTCCTTGTGTTTATTATTATATTTCGAAAACACCACAGTTTCCATGCAGCTCATACCATATTATTTTGTTGTATTATTTCCGCCACACCTTAAATGCCGGTCCCTGGAAATATTGTCTGACATAAACCGGTCCGTGGGGCAAAAAAGGTTGGGGACCCCTGCACTAAATGATTCATCGGGCTCTTATTATTTTTGAATATTCCAAAAACCCGGCATATGAAGAGGGGTGTGTAGACTTTTTCTAGCCACAAGGACGAAAAACGGAGAGCGGCCACCTGATGAAGATGTAGATGGCCTTGCGGTAGTTGGTGCGGAAGACCACGTGGGAGGGGCCCAGGAAGGGTTCCAGAACGTCCAGCAGCCCGGGCGCCATTTTGTCCATCTCGTCGAAGATGAAGACGGAGCGGGCGCACTCGGTCACGTTGCCCTGCACCCAAGACTTCAGCTGCTCCTGCACAACAGCAGCCCGCAGGTCGGTTGAACTTTGTGCGGGTGTGGGTTTAAAAAAAAAACAAAAAACTGAATTTATCATTTAAACGATAAACGTGTAAGAGATCAATCGTAACAGTGAACGTTTTTGCGTCAAGGTTCACCCAAAAAAAGACCATCGTCCGGGAACAAAAGCAACGTTCCACCTCATATCGATATGAGTTGCAACATTTTGCAATCAATTTCAATCGTCAGATGACATTTCAATGAGGAGACGATGTCACGTTTCTGCAATGTTGCTGCCAGCCGTACTCGCGACTCACTTGAAGGCAAACAAGTGAAGTCATCTTCCTACCCGCTGCGCCTGCACGTGTCCTCCGGCGGGGAAGTGCAGCGTGGGGATGAACTGGTGGACAAAGGGGCTGCCCGTGGCCGAGGCGTAGAGGTGGCGCGCCAGCATGTCGCCCGCCATCGTCTTGCCCGTGCCCGACGAGCCGTGCAGGGAGAGCACCAGCGGCTTCTCGGGCGCCTCCTGGGCCAGGAAGCGGGCCACCTCCTCAGAGAGCACCTCCTGGGCCAGATGCTGCCCAAAGACATTCTTGTACAGATCCCACTCCAATTCTGATTCACAAAAAGCGTCATTTGTGTGTTAGCTACTTGCACAGATTATTCACAAAGCAAACATATGACTGCTCAGATTCCTTACACCTTGGCCTTGCTTTCGTTTCATCGGCCTTTTTCGATTCATAAGCCGTTTCAGCCATTTTTGTCACGGTGCTAAATCACGAGCTCTTCAACGGCCACAATAGCGGGCACTATTGGCACAATTAGACTTTCGCCGTCTGTCGACGATGCCGCAACTGGAAGGAGATTTGACGCGACCGGCCGGCAGCTCCTCAGCGCGGAATGCGTCCCGCATGTTCATTGTGTTTTCTGTTTATTGAGAATTGTACCATGACTTGTTCGAATAAAGATTCATTTAAAAAAAAAAAAAAAGGAATGCGTCCCGCAGGAGACACGGAGAGGGTTTCAAAACGTTCCCACACAAATATCTGTTTTACTCGCCAAAGGACAAAAATAGCTGTTGGAAAACGGCAGTTGTTTACATTCCAACTTTTTTTTTTTCAATGAACAAACTGTACGTCACATACAGAAACATCACACAGAAGAAAATCACTGTTTGCCTCACAGCCCAGTTTTTTTATTCCGTACTTTATTTAAATTTGTAATTCCCAATTACCAGCGGACATTGATACTGTTTGTCTTCGCAAGATTAGCTCACTCGCTTCCGGGGTTAGCTGCGCATGCTGTTAACCCCGGAAGCGCTTCCCTACCTCTGACGTTGGGTCGAAAGTCGCAGTCGCAACTGTCGGCGATGGTGCAGTATAACTTCTGGAACACGCAGCGGGCCGGCGCGCAAACGCACAAAAGCAGCAGGGGCAAAATAGTTATCATTTCAATTTTTTTAGGGAGTTCGTCTCAGCCGGAGGCCCACGCCATTTGGGTTTGAGCCGTGGACAGTCGCCAGTCTGCCAGCCCGCTCAGTTGTTTGACTTCCTGGATGACGCAACGTCACGTGACCCTACGCTCTGCCCTAAGGTGTGATTTGTGACGTAAATACGAAGCCCACGTCTTGTTTCAAAATAAAGAAAAATGAATTGACAAAAACTAGTACAACTATTTTATTTTCAAAGTAGATTCAATCAATGATAATTAACAAGAAGGGCAACCGAGCACCTGTGTTGAAGAGAGCACATTTTGGGGGAGAAAAAAATCATCCATGTAAATTTATTTTTCAAAGTTTACACTGTTCGCGGGGAATGTTTATTGTGTTTGTTTTCAGTGAAAATAATCTTTTTAAATTATGTGTTTTCAATTGCAATAATATTAGAAAAAGCTTATTTAAATTTGCACCATCACTGACTGGGAACCAATCACACGCTGCCCTCACACAAGTCAGGGGAGTGGAACACGATACCATCTGTGACACACAATTATGTCGAAAAAAATATAGCGTTTTTAAAATTCGGATTCTCTAAAACCACCCCCATAAGGGTCAGGGCTACACCCTGAACTGGTTGCCAGCCAATCGCAAGGCCCCACATAGTTGAACAACCATCCGCGCTCACACTCACACCGAGGGACAATTTAGTGTGTTCCATTAACCTGCCATGTATGTTTTTGGAATGTGAGAGGAAACCAAAGGACCTGGAGAAAACCCACGCAGGCACAGGGAGACCATGCGAAGTCCACACAGGAAGGCCGGAGCCGGAATCGAACTCTACACCTCTGCACTGTGGGGCCGACACGCTAACCAGTCGACCACTAGGTCGCCATTCGACTTAATTCAAATGAGCAAAATGATTCCAATATTGATAGAATATCATCACCCCCCCCCAAAAAAAAAATGTCACAAGATCTATTCATGTCAGGTTTGGACGGAACGTTCACCTTTATGTAAATGTCTCAAATTCCAAGACAATTTTGAATTAAATGAACAAACAAAAATAACTGAAACATGACACAAGAAAGAACATTTTTAATACTTTTCATATTAGTAGTTTTTACAGTCTCGCTCATAATACAAAGATAAGTTTAATTCAAATCAATTAGAAAGCATTGCCATATAGAGTACCTAATGAATAAAGTAAACCCCCCCTCCCCCACACCTAAAGAAAAAAAAATCTAAAATGTTCCCCTTTATGTGTTTTGGTCACGTGGTCACAGGTTTGCCGAGGGTCCTGCCTTCACCATTTTCATGCCATGAATTCAGAAAACTTCCTGTTAGTTCTGACCTTGGGTGTGGTGCAGCCTTTTGGTGTACTTGCATCGCAGTAAAAAAAAAAAAAAAAAAAAAATCATCATCATCATCATACAATTAAATGAAAGGACAAGTTGTCAAATTTTCATTTACAGTTAAAAGAGTGAACAAAAATGTTCTCCGGTTTTTAACATGAACAAATGCGCCAAATCATTCGTAGACAAGGTCAAGGTGTGTATGAAAAACCGATTATTTTGATGAAATAATTTATGCTCGTTCTTTAATTCAGTCATGAATTAGATGTCAATGAAGTAATAACTTTAAAAAATGCAAAATGTGCTTTGCGCAATATTATTTCACGAACATAGATTGTTATTGCTGACCACAAGTCAATTCATAAATAAATCAGTTTATCATTCACTCCATTTTAATTCGACTCCTATTTTAAATGTATCATCACCCAGAAATCAATGAACGATTTCATGCATTGGGTCAGCGCGGCGGAGGCTCCAGCCTGTTCGATAAGGCGGTCAGCACTTGGTTGAATTTGGCGTAGCGACGCACCCGGCTCTCCGCCGCTCCCCTGCTGCCCCACAGAAGTCGGATCTGGAAGTCCGTACAGAACACCTCGGAGAAGTCCGCCCGCTCCTGGAAGTCTGCAACAGGAGTGCACGGACTACTCTTCCTCATAATCTGGAGAGCCCCAACAAATCTCAAGGTGGCCGAGTGCTCTAAACTACTGCGTTCAGTAGTTCATTTTGCGCACTAAAAGGCGCAGCTAAAAGCCTTCCATTTTCTTAAAAGCTCACAGCACGCCTTAAAATCCGATGCGCCTTGTGTATGGTCGTTACGGTAATATTTCGACCCCAAAAATACACGTGCATAGATGCAAGCACATACCTTGCAGTTTGCTGCGTGCGTTGGCACCATAGACGGCGCCGAGCTGGGCGTGCTTCCTGGCTGCCCCCAAGTGGAACATGAGCACTTCAATGTCCGCGCCGGCTTCCGCCGTCTCCCACGCCTCGGCTCCCGGGGTCTCCTCGGCCCCCGGGGGCCCCTCGTCCAGGGCCACGCTCTTCTCCAGAAGGCAGAGCAGCGGCAGGACGTGAGGAAAAGTGGTCCCGGACGCGGGGCAGCTTTCTGCATCACACAAGACGGGTGTCATGGAGATTTTGGGGGGTGAATGGGTATATCACATCAAATGGTAGTTTCATGACACCACAGCATGAAATGATGCTTTTTTTGGGGGGGTGGGGTGTTCTGAATGACTGCAATTTTGTACACAAATCTAACACTTTGGTGGCTAAAAATGATAGAGTTTCACCCTATCTGGGCAAGGCCAGCAGACGCACCCGTGGAGACGTTGACAACATCAATATGCAAACTGGAGAGTGCGGTCATTCATCCCGCAAGAGCCAATGTTGTACGGTTTGAGCCAATTCACCATTCAGATAAACGCGGATTAACAAAGGTTTAGCGCCGTACCCTAACCCTGAGCCACACCCATTCCGGCCCCATATGGAAAATCGCCTCGCAAACGGATCCAGGAAGGGAGCTCAAATCAGAGAATATGGCTGTTAAACGGTCAACGTGACTGAAGCGCACGGCGCCGGCGGTGTACCTCGGCCCTCGTTCAGGCCCTTCAGGAAGGGCCGGAGAATTTTCTCGTAGAGAACAGCGTCCTCCGTGTGCCGTTGCCGTAATGCCATCCAAGTCTGCTCCAGACGACTCACCTGGGCGGTGCAGAGTGTCAAAGCAGTGATTAGTATGAATGAATGAGGACTGTTTTTGACAATCACAAGCGGGAAGAAAGCAAATTGACTGACAAAATAAACTGTCTACTCTACCGTTCACTTCTCAACGGATGTTGACTATATTTCATGAAGTACCACCACCTGCCGGTTTGTGAACAATTTGTCACATTGGACCACACGCCGGACCCACAATCAAGAACGAGGCTCCAAAGCAGAAACGTCAGGGGAGCGACCCAATCACTTCGATCCATTAAATTACTACTACGGTGACTATTTCTCAAATGAAGCATGACATACCAACGTCCCTGACTAATGGTTCAGATTCGGCGCTCTAATGGCCGGGTTTGATTCTCGGTCAGGGATTGAACAGCTGTAAACGGCACTCGTGGATGAGTGTTAGCATTTGCCACATCAGACCAAACACGAGAATCACAATCAAGGATGAGGCGCCAAAGAAATTATTTCTACCCATTGAATGACCCGTATGCTATCGTTTAAATCAGGTGTGTTGGGATCGAAAACATGGAGGAGATGGCTATCGAGGAAACCAAGTTTCCTATCCCTGGGCTGACACAAGGACCCCTAAGCATCTGGAATATAACTCGCAAATTCTCGAAAATGCTTCATCTTGACAAATGCGATTTACCTGCGGCAGCTCCAGAGCTCTCATCACGGCAGAGAATCCGAACATGTTGCCCATGTTGCACTTGAGCTCGGCGGCGATGCCGATCATTCTGTGCAGAGCGGAGGCTCGCTCCTCGGTGGTGCCGGTGCATCCCAACACATTCACCGCCAACATGATGGCCATCGTATGCAGCCTGTGACACACGCAGACAACATCAGCAAACATTCAGTTGGACATGCTCTGGCCATTTTCCTTGCCCTCTGAACCTTTTGCATCTCCCAGTGACTCTAGGAGCTAAGTTGTCTGGGGTATTGTTCCCCTGACGGGGTCGCCCGTGGCAAACAGAGGTGAAGGAACCGGACAAAACACGGCCCACAGACCCCTGATGATGAGCGAGTCACGCCTGGAAGATGGGCCTCGCTGTCATGGGCCTGCAACCGTGGAGCCCGGCTGACCGGGCTCAGCCAACGCGGAAGGGGCCAAAGGGGTCGGGGTCCCCTGTGAGGTGGGCGGCGGCAAAAGCCGTCCCATCCCTGGCTCCAAAAGCTAGCTCAAGGGACGAGGAGCCTGAGCTGCTGTGCGAGGCAGAGAAGTTTGCAAGAAATCACACAGGGATCGAACCCTGGACCTCCGCACTGTGTGGCGGACGTGCTCACCAGTCGCCCGTAATAGAAAGACCTGCCAAAAGTTTTATGTTTCTCAACAAAAGTGGCTCTGAGGGCTGTATTAAAAAAGAAGCCAACAAACATAGCTGAGTATGGGAAACCCTTCGAAATCTGATCAGGTGAGGTGGTGGGCGTCTTGGGGTTCAACTCACCTTTCGAGCAGGTCTAATCGGAGCTGCTGTCCATGCGGCAGCGTGAGCAGCTCCATGCCCGAGCTGACTCCCATCAGCCTTTGCAGCTCCGGACGCGCCTCCAGGATTTGAGCGACCTATAGGAGACAAAAACTGGAAGGTCACCATCAGATCTAATCCAACAGCTAAGTCCTTGGTTTTTCTTTCCTAAATATCCCTCTGTTTCTGTTTCTACTGAGTTAGCCAGCTCTCTAGCTAGGTATCTAGCTAGCTAGCTAGTTACCAACCTGCCAAGCTCCTTACCTATCGATCAGCCTCGTGTTTAGCGAGATCTAGAGGCGGCATACCGTGCAGTCCCACTTGGTGATGTGTCGGGCGGCCGTCTGGGGGTCGGCCCCAGCCAGGAGTTCCTTCACCCGCTGCAGGATGCCCACCTCCAGGGGCTTGTTCTCCCCGGGCATCAGCGGAGAGCGGTAGCTGGTGGGGGCGAAGGACGACGCCGTTTCCATCATGGGAGACAGGTAAACGTCCATCGCCCTCTGACCCTCCTCGTCGCGGAGCCTCTCCACGAAGCTTCGAGGCCCCGGGTAGACCTCCGTGTAGCAGCCTCCGTCCGAGTCTGGAGGCTGGATGTCCGGGTCCCGTTCGGGAGGAGAAGGAGACGGTGACGGGGCGGCATCGGTAGATTGAAGAGCTGCAGAAGCAAAACAGGAGCCGCTTTCACTTTGGCCACCGAAGACGTTGGAGGACCTTTGGACGATGGTCCACACGTCCTGAAGTTGGTGGACGCAGTGCAACACAGTTTCCAGAAACGCTAGCCTTTTTCCATGCTGGCCATCGAAGAGGTTAGTGGACTGACTAGCTATCACAGCGCTTGCCAGTAACGTGGGGCCTCTTTTACGTGGACTGTTGGTGGACTCGATGCAACTCAGATGCGAAGTGGTTGATCAGAAACAGCGGATTCTTTCACACCGGCCATCGAAGCCTCGATGACACAAGCGTGTCAAAGAATCACCCAAGTAATGTTCAGTCGAGTGAGTGGCAATTGCTTGACACCCGTGTCGCTTGGAGCCCACACGCTTGTTTGATGGCCAGCGTTAGCGCGTCGGCTTCGTTCGGGCTGTGTGCCTTTAATGGCTTGTTGTGTGCGCTCAGGTTGACGACACGCGGGAGAGACCTTCAACTCATGCCACACAAACACGCTCACACAGACGCACCCTCCGATAACCCTTCGGGGTCGTCGGGTTCAACGTTACTCGTATTTTCTTTTCCGTTCACATTCCAATGAGACGAATCGGCTATTCCAGAGCAATGCCACTCGTCAATTCCAAAACGACGTTGACCCCATTTATATATAGCGATACTCTTTGATTGAAGAATGATGTCGGTCTACTTTCCAGCGATCCAATTCCAGCCATTTTTCTTGCTTTGATCTGATTTGTTTTCCCAAGTTGAGATTCGATTCAAGGATGTGATTTGGCCGCTCCACAACAAGAAAATTTGATTCCAGAGTGCCGCTTTGCTTATCTAGAATCGAACAACGGCATACGATTCAAACCGAGACCGATCATTGGCCAACGTAGAAGAAAACAATTGGATTGAAGAAGGACATTTGGCTCCTCTGCAGGGATATCATTTGATTCGAGAGCAATACCGTGCTACAGTCTCGAGATTCGTTGTTTTTTTTTTTGACCGGATTTGTTTTTCTAAGTTTCGCCTCGAATCCGCATGAACATTTGTTGAACGTGGCCAAAGTACACGTCAATGGTGACGTCACCTCTGGGGTTTCAAAGAGGCACACGGCAGGTAAATACGGGAAATCCGGTCTTATCTGGAGCGGGCCTTTATGTAATCCCACGTCAGGTGGCCGTCACAGAAAGTGAAAAGGAATCCACTTCCTGCTGGCGGCGTCCAGTCGATCCTCGAAGGCCGTCCTGTGCACACAGGCTGGCTGGCTGGCTCGTTCTCGGTAAGTCAAGGCGTCTTTCCGCTGCACGGCTGTTTCTTGAGGGAGGAACTCTCTGGCCGCCAGATGTTTCCCGGTTTCCCCTCGGTTCATCTTGGAAGTTTGTTGTTGTTTGTTTGCTTGGCGGCAAAAGTGCCGAAAAAGCGGCTTTGGTTGGGACAAAAGCGCCGCTCTCTCCAAACGCTCCCGTGGATCGCGCACGGCATCGGGACGGTCGCTGATTGCGAGCGGCGTGTGGCGGTGGAAACGAGCACCATCTGTTCCTCTTCCATTTGGAAACTTTTGACCATTTTGGCAAAGCCTTCTCCAGGGTTTTGAATTGCTCGAAGAATCCTTTTCTGGTTGGGTATCCTTCTTTGTTTTCTTTTAGGAATGCAGTGCTGTTTTGTTCAAGACGTCTTCCGCATCATTCTCACCATTCGTATCTTTTGTTCATATTCACCATTCATATTTGGAATCTTTGTATTTATTTCTGTGATCTTTGGGACAATATTTATTCGGATTTCATTTCGACTATTCTTGATGTTGTCCGTGTCGTTCATGACTATTCAGTGATTCATTTCATCGTTCTGCTATGTGTTGATTTCAAATCGTTTTCCGATATTTTGTCCTTATATTTTCTAATCTTTCATTTGCAACACGGCACTCATATCTGATGGTTTAGACAAACACCCGCCAATTTGTGTCACGTTCACTATTGCCCGCACGCGTGCTTTTGAGTGTGTTTGCGCAATAGTTGCTCGACATTTGTCGTCGGACTCATTCGTCACTTGAAGCGAACGTGCGACTGCTCCTCATTAGCGTTTGCGACATCATTCGCCCGCACGGCTCCCTGACCTTCGCACCCAGTCAAGGCTTCCTCTCGGGGCCTCAATGAAGTTTCACTCCCAGCGTCGAGTAACGTGAGAGGAGCCGGGAGAAAAAGGAAAACAAGTGGGACGAGCCCGGTGGGATCTCGTGCCCTCCAAATCCCGCCCAGTGTTGTGATTGCGCAAGCGGCTTGTGCAAGTCGAGTACGGGGGGACTACGGCAGCAAGTGCCGGCGCACGGGTTTGTGTGAACATGGTAGGCGACGTTCTGTTCGTTCACGACGGTACGTGCAAGATGGTACCTGGCCGTACCATCGCGAACTACATCGAACCGCGCCGGCCGAACTAAGTCAAACTGTTAAACGGCCGATTGAACCACACAGCGTAGCGAAGCGAAACATACCGACCGATTTGGCACGGTGCTTTGAGTCCGCCTTTGATCTTGGACGTTTTAGTCCCTGAAGAAGCACTGTTCACAAATTGACTCTTCATCTTATCCGGACATCCTCTCAACAGAGTCACGGCGAAGACATGTCCCGGCCGACGCTTCTGACGCTGGCGGCGCTCCTCTCTGCTTTTGGCGGCAGCGCGGCGGGTGGCAAGATCCTGGTCTTCCCCATCGATGGCAGTCACTGGATCAACATGAAGGTCCTGATCGAAGAGCTCCACGCCCGCGGCCACGACATCACCGTGCTGCGACCCTCCGACAGCTGGTACATCAAACCCGAGTCGCACCTCTACAAGACCATCACCCTGCACTTCTCGGGCGGGTTCGACGAGGTCAGCTTCGGCTCCTTTGTCACCCGCATGCTCCTCTTGCGACGGGACGGCGCCTCCCTGTGGAAGCGGCTGGCGCTGGAGTACGAGCTGGTCAACCAGTTCTACAACCTCAACCAGCAAGTTGTGGAGATGATGAGCAACGTGTTCGAAGACCGGGAGATGATGCACAACCTGCGGGAGGCCAACTACGAGGTGGTTCTCACTGACCCGGCGATGGGCGGCGGCGTCCTCCTGGCCCGCCGTCTGGGTCTCCCCCTGGTGCTGAACGTCCGCTGGACCGTCCAGGGCGAGGCGCACCTGGCCATCGCCCCCTCGCCTTTGTCATACGTCCCCATCCCGGGTGTCAAGCTGACGGACAAAATGACGTTTGCGGATCGTCTCAAGAACGTCATGTACTACTTGTTCACGCGGTGGCAGATTTGGTACGTGTCGGACGCCACCTACAAGCCGTTTGTCCACCGGTACTTTGGCCCGGACGTGCACTACATGGAGCTCTTCCAGTCGGCCGACATCTGGCTGATGAGGAACGACTTCACCTTTGAGTTCCCGCGGCCCACCATGCCCAACGTGGTCTACATGTCCGGGTTCCAGTGCAAGTCGGCGCGGCCGCTCCCCGCCGAGCTGGAGGACTTTGCGCAGAGCTCGGGCGAGCACGGACTGGTCGTGATGACTCTCGGGACCCTCGTGGCAGACCTCCCAGAAGATATCACCGACGGAATCGCCGCCGCCTTTGCCCGGCTCCCCCAGAAGGTGATCTGGAGGCACCGGGGTAAGCGTCCGTCCACCCTGGGAAACAACACGCTCATCCTGGACTGGCTTCCGCAGAATGACCTCCTGGGCCACGCCAAAACCCGGCTTTTCGTCGCGCACGGCGGCACCAACGGCATCCAGGAGGCCATCTACCACGGTGTCCCCCTGGTGGGCCTCCCGCTCATGTTTGACCAGCATGACAACTTCTTCCGGATGGAAGCCAGGGGGGTAGCCAAGGTGCTGGACATCGCCACGGTGAACCAGGAGAATTTCCTGGAGGCCTTACAGGCGGTTCTCGACCAGCCGTCCTACGGCGACAAGATGCGGCGCCTGTCGGCGCTGCACCGCGACCAGCCCGTCCCCGCTCTGAGCCGCGCCGTCTTCTGGATCGAGTTCGTCATGAGGCACAAGGGGGCGCCACACCTGAGGAACGAGTCTTACAAGATGTCCACCGTCCAGTACCACTGCCTGGACGTTGCGGCCTTCCTGATGGCCGTCACCTTAACCGGCGCCTCCATCTGCGTCACGGCGCTGCGAGTCCTGTGCCGATGTTTGTTTTACCGAAGCAAGTTGAAAAAAGAATGATTCTCTTTTTTTTTCTTATTATTTCTGTAACCCTCACTATTTTTCTCAAAGACTGGTTCCACTTGTTTTGGTTTCTTATTTGATTGAGTTTTATTGCTGCTTTTCTCCTGAAAATCAGGTCATTTCCAAATTGATTAACCCCGCCGAGAATGACAAATTTGTGGATTTCAAAATGTCAAATTACAGAGAAAAGCAATCAATGAAACCATTTTTAAGTGCCTGATATATATATATATTGCGCTTGCGTGATATATATATATATATATATATATATATATATATATATTATATATACGGTACATATGTTATGATTTTTTTCCAATTGAGTCATCAATGTTGTGGTGCACGTGCCTGACCTGTGCGTGGCCGGTGTGGCTTCAGTTGCCAATTTCTTCTATGATCCTATTTTTTTCCCCATTGTATAACATATTGTCATTATTTTGCAATTTGTTTTATAATGTCAACATGATTTAAACATGCAGTGGGTCATTACAATAAGCAATTTTTTTTTTTTTGGTATACCAAAGAAATACTTAACAAGAGGGTGAATTGAAAAAGAACATCATTTTAGAAACTGAAGTCATGGTTTCATGAAAAAAAATGAGTGGAATATGATACGACGCTGTCAAACTCACTGATGTCGTCGGTGGAGGAGGAGAACGCTGGTTGTCGGCGGTCCCGTCGGCGCAAAGACGAGGGGCTGCGTGCAGAGAGAAAACATGTTTGCAATCATTGTTCTCAATGCACAGTTTGATGTCCACAATTCTCCGATGGCCGGAAATGACCAACGCGAGTCTAAAATGGCGACTTGGAAGCAAAATGGCTGATGTCCTGTGTGTTTCTTCTTGAGATTTTCTTGTGAGTCTACTGATGACGGTCCTGTCTACCAAAATGCACGTCGCTAAGTGGAAATGGCTACCGGGGCGAAATTTCAATTGACCGGGAAAGTGTCCACTTCGGGGCAAAATGGCCGTCTTTCTGTGTCCTTTCAGGCGTGTTTTTTTGAGACGATTTTGTGGGTCAACTCATAGTTGACATTTTATGGCATCTGGAGCTAAGAAAAAAAAAAAAAAAACTTCCAGAGGTGAAGGGTCCTGGGAAATGACCAAATTGCAGACCTTTTGGAGCAGACTTCCTCCGCCCGGCTCGGGGTCAGCTGACACGGCGGCGGAGCAATGGCCGTCTGCAGGTAGCTCAGCGGCAGCGTCCTGTTCACCGGCTGCTGGATCTTGGCGGCGCTCCAGCAGGTCAGCGGCGCCCTGCTCGCCGCGCAGAAACGCACCAGGGCGGGCAGCGAGTCAAACACCTCCCGGTCCAGGCTGTAGTGGACTCCGCAGTGCACCACGGTGGTCCGGACGGGAAAGTGATTGGTCTCCTGGTCCCAGCGGGCGGTCAGGACAAAATTGCCCGGGCTGGACTCTGAGTCCCGAATGAGGAAGTCTCCCTGGTTCAGGACCAGTCTCTCGGCCACCTAAGGAGAAGACCCTGCCTTTACTTCTTGAAATGTGGTTGTTTTACACAGTAAGGAAACAACTTTTCGCAGAGAGGAGAGAAGGGGCAAAGTGCGACAAAGGGGAGACAAAGTGACACTCTCAGGTCCTGAGCTAGCAAACAACAAAAATGGATCTGCATGTGGTTGCTGGCAAATTGCAACTGGAAGTTAATTCTGGGCAATGGAAAAGGTATGAAAGGTATTTTAGTTCTTCACCAGGGCAAGGAGAGAAAAATGCATTTGAGGGCACCCTGAAAAAAAGAGCACGACGAGAAACAAAAGTGGTTTGATTTTAAAGGAGACTAAGGGCAAACTGAAAATGGAACATCGCAGCAAAGTGGGGGCGGTGGAGTCGCGGCTTCCTGAGCGAGGACAACTCCAGTATTTATTTCCTCACCAATGCAAGAAGACGAATTTAATTTGAGGGGAGACTAAGGGCAGGCTAAAAATGGAAGGCTGCACCAAAATGGAGACAGCGGAGCGCCAGCGCCAGTCATAAGACGCAACAACCGGCTGAGCGAACAAACTCACGCCCCCGGTATTTTCTTCTCCACGTGAGTATGGAGAGGAGCCTAAAAACAGAGTGCTGCAGCCAAACAGAGACTGCGTGTACCTGTCGGGTGATGGGTCCATGGTACCAGGCGTGGCTCCTCAGGTTGGCTGCGCTCAGCTGAAGTTGGGGGGGGGTAGGGATGCCAATGCAACCAACAGTGGCCACATTGGAGTCTTGGGCTAGTCGCCGCGGCAACGTGATTGAGGAAAGGGGGCATCACTTTCCTGAGCGAGGACAACTCCAGTATTTATTTCCTCACCAATGCAAGAAGACGAATTTAATTTGAGGGGAGACTAAGGGCAGGCTAAAAATGGAAGGCTGCACCAAAATGGAGACAGCGGAGCGCCAGCGCCAGTCATAAGACGCAACAACCGGCTGAGCGAACAAACTCACGCCCCCGGTATTTTCTTCTCCACGTGAGTATGGAGAGGAGCCTAAAAACAGAGTGCTGCAGCCAAACAGAGACTGCGTGTACCTGTCGGGTGATGGGTCCATGGTACCAGGCGTGGCTCCTCAGGTTGGCTGCGCTCAGCTGAAGTTCTTCCTGCAGCTGCTTCTCCAGACAGAACTTCTTGTCCTTGGAGAACTTGAAGGACATCACAGTGAGTGACTGAGAAGGAACCACGAGAAGCTTCTGGTCTCGCCGTTGGTGTCCACACACACACACACAGGCGCACACACACGCATTCCGTACAGGGCTGCTCTCACGCCCAACACCCCTCTATACTTGGACATAATGGTTTGTGTGTGTGTGTGTGTGTGTGTGTGTGTGTGTGTGTGTGCTTCTCTGTGTGTCTGGATGCGTGTGTGTGCAAGTCCTTGTGTATGCATAAATGTGTGTATGCCACTGTGTTTGCGCTGTGTGTGTGTGTGTGTGTGTGTGTGTGTGTGTGTGTGTGTGTCTGTGTGTGTGCGTGTGTGTCTGTGTGTGTGCGTGTGTGTGTGTGTGTGTGTGTGTGTGTGTCACTGCGACCAGTCAAAAAGAAACGAGATGAATCTCACCTTTACATATTCGCCACCGCCGTTTGTTGGACTGAAAACAAGCAAACAAACAAAAAACATGTTCTGATGTCACTGGCTGTATGTTAAGAGAAAAAAAAAAAAAAGGCGCATTTCCGTTGGTGACTTAATGACTTCGAACACAGGAAGTCCCCCAAGTCGCATCCATTTGACTCCACTTCCGGATTCTTCTGACACACGTACACGCGCACAGCTGTGCTCCCACGCTAGCGACAACGGATGTCGAGTCCATGAGAAACAAGTCTCATCTTGTCACTTTTGAGTCATTTTTTTCGACTTCAAAGGTTTGCAATGATCAACGTGATGGAGTGAATTCATTCGTTCGTTCGTTTTGAGTTTGTGAGTGAATGTGCTAGCGTCGATGTTATGCATACTAATCATAGTTCTAAATGGCTCACCTGGACAAGTTTTCCACTTCTGGTGAGTCCTTAGTGGTTTCGTGCCTGCCAAGCGCATCCATGTGCACATAGACGTCCTGTGGAGCCGGAGTACTTTGGCGAACGTCCGTTGGAGTTGAGTTCCTTTTGGACACAGCCGGAGCGCCTTTGGACATGACCCGCGCGGCCGCGGGACCTTGGTCCATGCCCGGTGGCGCCGGAGCAAAGCCGGGCTGCTCCGGAGCGTTGAGGCTGAGGCTGGACAGAGCTCCGAGCAGGGGGGAGTCCCGCACGCAGTCGTCATCCACCGCCGCCGCTGTGGCGGCCGCGGCGGCCGCGGTGGTCCCCTTCTCCTCTCCATCTCCCTCCTCCTTTTTGTCCATCCCGCTCAGCTGCCTGCCTCCGCGAGGCACCGTTCCCACGTGGGTGTACATGGCACTGGAGCGGGCGTAGCCCCGCGGCTGGGGGCCGGACTCACTGTCGTCAGCGGGCCAGGTCTGCGGCGGGGCGGAGGCCTTGCGTCGGGAGGACGGACGGCGGAGCTTTGAGAGGCTGGCCAGACTCCCCAACCAGACGGGGGCTGCCGTACAGGAAGATCAGGCTTGTTTAGCGGAGTCACGTCATTGGTTTTCATTTCATGGATCTCGAGGTGATTTCTGTTGCGCTCGCTGGACTTCCGCCAGCGTGGGTCAAGTATCAAGTCAAGTATCAAACTTTATTGTCAAATGTGCTGTGCAGCACAGATGAAATTTCTTCCCTCTCACAACACACAACAAGAGGAGCCGCTGCGGGTGCTCGCGCCGCCATCAAAAGAAAAGTGAACATCAAATGACAAAATAATGCAAGACAACACATTAGACACAGACAATCGTGCAATCTTAACCACTTTTCCTGGTCAATGCGCTCATTCCCATTGGGCATGTACAGCAGCCGTCGGGGGTCACCCCCCCCCCCCCGGGGTGCATCTTGAAGTCGGGACAAGCAACTTCAAAGTTGAAACAATTAAGGACCGCCAAATGTCCCGCGGTCATCTTCATAATCAAATGAATCATCATTTCAGGAATTGAAGCGGCGGGGAGTTTTTTCCAGATGTTAATGGATGCTTTCAGTGATGCATTCAGTGGGGAGAAATCCAGCTGCAGGAGACGCGCACTGACTGACCGTCTATTCATGCCGCACAACGACACCACTGTGCGATGCTCACAATCGCCCGCAAATGCTTGGATACACACACACACACACACACACACAAACAAAACACACACACTTCAACCCGTGTGTGACATCGCTGTTCACAACACGTCTTTTTTTTTGTGTGTGTCGACAGAGAGGCAAGACACACACACAAGCAACTCATGTCAACGGTACTCAAAAATGCTGCACATGGAGGAAAAAATCGTTCGGACAACAACAAACAATAAATGAATGACCGTGACAGTGAAAAGCACAAAAAGACGAAAAACATCAAAGCAAATTTCACGCTGAGTGAAAAGCCAAAGAATAAAAATGAGTTTTAAGCGGGAGGTCCTTCCAAAGAGAGGCAGCGGCAACAGAAAAGGCTCCATCCCCTCAGAGCCTCCGCTTAATTCTCGGCACCTCTAATAGTCTCCAGTCCGCAGACCCGAGGCCCCGGGTCGGGTCTGCGGAGGACCTCCGAGAGGGAAGGTGGGGCCAGGCCCTTTAAAAGAATAGGACCCCTAAAAGGGAGCCAGTGAAGGGATGCCAGAGTCGGAGTGATGCGCTAAGAGAGCAGCAACATTCTGGACCAACTGGAGACGCTTGATGGAGGATTGGCTGATTCCAAAGCCGAGATGTGACATAAGCATGAATTACTGTTTCAAAGTGCTCTTGAGAAAGGAAAAGCTTGACATTAGCCAGCTACCTTATATATATATATATATATATATATATATAATTAGAAAAGTGATTTTTTTTTTAAAAGTCAACTTACAGTGTTTGTGTCTCTTCATGCCGGCTTGTGTTCACACTCTTCACACTACACTCTTTCTTCATCCACTGACACACACACACACACACGCACACACACACAGAATGAGTCGACTTCCTGTCACGGACGCCCTTAAATTTGATTTGTTGGTGCAATCAGGTGACGGGCGTTGCTCGCACTTCACTTTCCTGGCACACACACACACACATACACACACACACACACACACACACACACACACGCGCGCACACACACACACACACACACACACACACACACACACACACACACACACACTCGAGCGGGGTTGGCTGTCAATCTTACAACACTTCCTGTTCTCTCAAGAAAGTGAACTGACATGAATTTCGTCAGTCACGTAATTATGCAGTTGGGGTTTTTGGGGGTTTGTTTGTTTTTCGATGATGATATTGATGATGTTGATGTGCAGTGTGGCCGTAACGCCAAACAAATCTAAATGACGGCCCAAAGACCTCCAGCCTTGGTTTCATCAGACCACAAAACCTTTTTCCATGCACGTTTGGAAAATTTTATGCTCCAACACAGGGGTGTCCAAACTTTTTCATTTTGAGGGCTCATTCATAAAAATGCAAGGACGCAAGGGCCACTTTAAAATTCTCCCAAATTGAATTCATTCAGCACGGTAAAATCAGTCGAGCATTACTTTGCGGGTCGCATGTGGCCCCCGGGCCTTGAGTTTGACACCGATGCCGTTGTTGTACTTCTGGTGGTCACACGATTGTGACATGAGTTTGTGAATACACTCCAAAAAGCACGGGTGCGGTAAGCGTTTGGCATGCTCCACCATGACGAGATATCATCTTTCGCAGCATCGTTGGCAACTTTTGCAACTTTTTCCTGTTTTCGACAAGCAACGAGAACATCAGCAGATCGTGCTCGATGAAGAGTTTGCACGACAACGCACCACAGGTCGCACAGTTGGGCGCGGTGACCCACTTCTTGCTTCCTTTCTCTCTTTTTTTCTTTTGAGTGTGTGCAAGCGACACAAAAGCTGCTATGAAGCTGGATGGGATGGTACCAAGCAGGTCTTGTCACCGCTTTAACTCAAATGTTCCCAAATGGTGTCTTTGCACACTGGAGAGGACATGACGGTTGAACGGTAAAGCTACTTTGAGCCACAGGATGGTGGCAGAGAATCATCATCCTGGCTCATTTTAGGAACTGAGTGATGATTGTCGACTGAGATCTTGGACAGGCAGCAATTGCAGGCAGGAAACATCAGTTGAGATTTTAAGGAGAAGCAGACTTTAGGGGAAGCTTGAGAGAGAGAGAGAGAGAGAGAGAGAGAGAGAGAGAGAGAGAGAGAGAGAGAGAGAGAGAGAGAGAGGCAGCGGCCCAGTGTCGAGTGGTTAACACGTCGACCTCACACTGCAGAGGTCGTGGGTTCGATCCGAGCTGCGGCCTTCCTGTGTGACGTTTGAATGTTCTCCCCGTGCCTACGTGGGTTTTCTCCAGGTCCTTTGGTTTCCTCCCACGTTCCAAAAACATGCATGGCAGGCTGATTGAACACTCCAAATTGTCCTTAGGTGTGAGTGTGAGCGTTGGTCTCTATGTGCCCTGCGATTGGCTGGCAAGCGGTTCAGAGTGTCCTTCGCCTACTGCCCGAAGACAGCTGAGATAGGCTCCAGCACGCCCCGCGACCCTTGTGACGATAAAGCGGCTCAACAAATGTCACATCACCAAACCCAGAAAAGAAGTGAGCTGTGTTTGGAATCGAACCCTGCACCTCTGCATTGTGAGGCGGACGTGCTAACCGGTCGAGATTAAGTAATGTTATGAAATAAATTATTTACTCTCATGAGCTAATTTAATACACAAGGCTCCCTCGAGATGTTTTCTTTCCTTGAGCTAGCTCCAACGAGAGGGACAGCTCTTTCTAGTCCAAAGTGGTGGCCGTTGTGCGCATGCGCAGAAGCATCGACGTCACACTCTACCCAGACCAGCAAAGCTCATCGTGCCGCGGGGTGTATGTATTAATAACATGTTCGTTTTGTTTTCTGTTTACTGAGAATTGTATTCTGACTTGTTCAATAAAGATTATTAAAATAAAAAAAAAATCATCGTGCCGCGGGGAGGTGAAAGTAACCCGGCCGGCGGCAGCTTCCACCTGGGCCACTTCCTCAACTTCCTACGGCCGGTGACGAACTAACACCAGAAGCGGAGCTCGTATAGCAAGCTAGCAAAAAGTAGGGGAGTTTCTCTCTACGCTCCGGGCGCTCGTCGCGACGGCTGAAGGTAAAAAAATGATTTTTAAAAAATACGTTTACGTGCGCGTTTTCAAGTTGACATGAGGCTAAAACATAGTTTTTATACTTTCAACGTCATGAAATGTGAATGTCTGAGACTTCATCAAGCCGCTTCGTCATCAAGCACCACCTGCTCGACGTTGTCACGTGACCACCACTTGAACCTGACGATGCACATTTCAGGTTCACAAAAGCGATGTTTTTCTCAGAGTGTGCCAAAAAAATAGAACAATTACTCATTTATTGTCATCATCTGAAACATTTTCATGTTTTTTGAGCATGTGCTAACGTGTCCTCAATGCGACACATGCTCGTGGAGGTGGGGGCGTCATGTTTGTTTGGTCACATGATGAGCTTCTGGAGTTGAAGTTGGGAGAGTTGGCATGAAAAGAGATGACACTGTACTGAGACCAGTATTTGGTACCGGTGTTTATGTTGTTGTCGGAATTGCTTCTGGTGTTCGTTTTTGTGCAAAGTGACCATTTCAAGTGTTTATTTGCAGCTTGCCCTCTAATTTAGTCAAAAATTAAGCCCTGGGAGACACTTTGATCTCAAAAAACAAAAATGTATTTGCCATATCTATGATAAGTAGACCCACAAAAAATGTCAAGGAGCCGTGTTGTAAAAAGGTTAATGTAGTCTGCTATTACGGTTTGAAGCGGACATTTTTATTTTGTTGGACTGATCTGATCCAATTCTAATAACTTGAGAGTTACTCATCATCGTGTCGTTCTGCTCTTGTCGCACAACCACACAGACTGTCTGACGAGCGGGTCTGACGGGACCGTAGTACTCACAGAGACCCCGACCACCACCTGCTGTCTGAACATGGTGAGCCTCTCGCACAGACCACCTGGCCAATCATTTGAAAATTCAGCTCCGACAGACTGTTTCATTTCCCAAAATCAACTAATGCTAAGATGATGTCGTGTCAAATGTTAAAACATAATTCTACCTTTTTGTGCACAAGTAACAAGCACAGAGCAGCTAGCCGGTCAACGGCTAGCAAGCTAACGTGGCCGTCTACGTCAATGCTTGGTAAGCCTATGGCGGCGAACCGATCGCCAGCTAGCGCCAGAAGCTAAAATAGAAGCCTCGCTCAGTGCTCCTTCTTCTCAAGTATAACACGAAATCAACTACTGCTAAGCTAATGTCGTGTAAAATGGTCCAACATAATTCCAACTTTTTGCGCACAAATTACAAGCACAGAGCAGCTAGGGAGTCGGTGGCTAGCAAGCTAAGGTAGCCATCTACCTGTTTACTCAGCGATCGTTTGCCAGTGACGACCGTTACATCATGACCAAGCACGCCAGCATCGTCCCTGCCCCCGAGGACCTGGAAGCAGTCCAGACGCTGGTGTCCGCTGTGGAAGCTGCCCTCCAGAAGGTATCCCATTGGCTGGACGGCCTCAACAGCTCTCCCGGGAGCATCGCCATCAAGGAGTCAGGTGATGGCCAGGTGGTCCACTACGCCGTTGACGGCACAAAGTGAGTCTCCGCGGCCCGTGGAATGCAATTGTTTGATGCTGACGTGGACTTTGAGCTGACTGTGTTTAGACTGTGGGATGAGGATGGCGTCGGCGAGACGTCCGCGCTGGGCTGATGATTGTTTTGACTGTCGTTTGACGCTGGGTTGGTGTGACTTGTCGGCGTTCCTGGTATCCTCAGGATGGCTACGGCGTCGACGCTGCGCAGCGTGACCCGGGTGGGCCTGCTTTCCAAAGGTTTACTCATCAAGGGTGACATGGACCTGGAGCTCGTGCTCGTGTGCCAACGGAAGCCCACCCGACTGTTGCTCTACACCATCTGTGCCGTCCTGCCCCAAAGGATGCAGGTACCCTCGGAACCGTTGGGAGTTTTAAAACGGTTTGTTTTGCGACAATTGTTTTCAATTGCCGAGAATTAAAAAAAAAAAAAAAAGGGAAAATACCTTTTAGGTTTTTATGTAACTTTATGGGAAATACATTTTGCCTGGGGAAAAAAAAAACTACACTACATTTATACATTCCAATGTAAAAAAAAAAAATGGTGAGTCAAGGGTTCCATGGAAAAAAATAAGAATAAAATGTGCATGAAATGACGCTACAAGAAAAAGGCTTCAGTTTTAAGAGGGCAAAAAAATGCAATGTGTGAACTCATTTGAACAAAGAATGTCATCTACGAAATAAAAAGTTGGAATAGTTAAAAAAAATAAATAAAAAAAGACAAAAAAACATTTTACATGAAAACAAATGTTTCCGATGTGGTGTTGAAGCTCTGTTCAAACGCCGCGTCAGCGTATAATCGCTTTCGACACTAAGTTGGCATGAGCGATGATGACTGAATGAATCACAGGCACTGAGCAAGGACGTGTACGAGGTGCACTCGCGCGTGGACGAAGCGGCCATCCTGGTGTGTCGCACCAAATCTCCCCGATTCACGCTCAAGATCACCCTCACCTCCTTGGACATGAAGGGGCCAGGTACAATCGTTTCTCCCTCCATTGTTGGTGAGCACGTTTCCTCAGTAGGAACTTTACCCCGCCCCCTTCCCCCTCCTCCATTTTTCTTCACTGAACCACTGCTACTGTTTGACACCGGCCTTGCTGAAAAATACACAAGCAATGCCCGCTCCACCACCACCGCCTCACCGATTATAATTCTCTTCAATGACAATGCTGGTCATTCAATTTACAATGCAATAAATGTTCACTCCCAACGATTCAGTCTCAATTACGATTTGATTTGATAATATTCGCAACCGTTCCGCTATTTAAACCAAGAGCGCCATCAAGAGGACTCAAAAAATATCACAAGTGCTTCATGAAGCTTCGCTTTCCCATCGCGGCCAATTTCACTGCGAGATTCGTTCCAACTGTGAAATTGACTCCATTTACGAAACAATTATTTTTGGTGACGCAATTTCTTCCGATCATGATACGATACGATTGTGAAGAATGATTGGAATTTTTGGGTTTTTTTTCCATCCAGAGGGAGGCCTTGGCGCAGAGGAGACGTCACGGAGCCGAGAGGACAGCGACGTCCTGGACGGACGCAAGTGCCGAGCGGCGATGGCTGAGATCCGGCGAGCCAGCTGGTTTCAGGTCGGCTAAAAATGACCTCGTCCAAGGTGCTTTTCATCACCATTCCAGTCAATTATGGTCTCGTTCACTCCAATTGCGATGAGATGACTCTTATGTGAATCCCATCAACACCGACAAATATAAACTCAAACAAGAAAAATGTTTATTGACAAAATGCGTGAGTGACAAAGTACAACGAAAGACGCTGGTAACAAGTAACCAGGAAACAAAATCAAAAACGCTTGTACAAGATAAATGGAAATTGCTCAAAGGACAAGGACATCCAGTACACGAGAATACTAACCAAGAAATAACACCAAGAACTACTTGCATGAAAAATAAACTACAAAAACGTGGCAAAAAGTCGAGCACACGGGTATCAAACTCAAGATTATGAGACGGTGCAGTGTGACCTTGAGTTATGTATCCGATTGGCTGCAATGACCACATAATCCACACCAATTAGAAAACTATTGGATTCATTCCAGTTCCGATATGATTTACAAATCTTACAATCCAATGGGATTCCCGCCGACGTGTGTTTTTGGGCGTCGTTTGCAGGCCGCGGTGTCGCCCGTGAAGTCTTGCATGGTGGTATTGAGGCTCCTCCGAGACATGTGCAACACACTGACTGTGTGGCGGCCGCTCAAAGGATGGGTACCGTTTGATCCAACGAGCACCATTTTTTTTTTTCCCAATTCTTGTGTCCGGAGGTCTGCAAGCTGACTGATTTCTGCCCGTTTCCAGCCACTGGAGCTCATCTGCCAAAAGGCCGTCACCGCCCGCAGTCGCCCTTCGGGGCCGGCCGAGGCACTGCGGCGCGTCATGGAGTTCGTCGCCTCTGGAATCCTACTTCCTGGTAAGTTGCCGGTCAAAAGGTTTTGGGTACTTTTCAAAATGGTGTCTTTATTTTTTGCGCAGGGGGTCCAGGAATTCGGGACCCTTGCGAATGTGAGCCGACGGATGCCTTGTGTGACCTCACCTCCCAGCAAGCCGATGCCATTACACGCGGCGCGCAGGTCGGGGAAATCAAAGTGGCAAAAATACCACTCCGTTCTCATCATATTGCAATTTTTTATTTTCATATCAGACTTCGATATTGCATCGTAATTCTATTTGTGAGATTCCCGCCTTCGTGTCTTGCCAAACCTCGTCGGCTGCCGAATTAGTGTGAGAAACCTGCCCCATCCACTTCAGACACCCATAAAACAACAAAGTTAAAATGTAACTGTGTGTGTGTGTGTGTGTGTGTGTGTGTGTGTGTGTGTGTGTGTGTGTGTGTGTGTGTGTTTTGCAGGATACTTTAAGACTCCTGGCCTTTGGACAAATTTCCTGGGTGTTAAATATGGATCCCCTCCCCAGCAGTAATCCTTCATTGCAGCACTTACAAGGTGTGTTGTTGTGTCGGACAAAGTATAGCGGGAGTGCCCGACCAGTCAATCTCGTGTGTTCAGCACTCAAACTGTGCTCATCACAGAATCTTGATTGACACCACGACTGGCAGTGTAAATCTCTCTCACGCCGCCCCCCCCCCCCCCCCACTCCAACACACTCACA